TAGTAGTGTAGTTTATAGTGTCTCGTAGTGTATAGTAGTGTAGTATATATGGTAGTGTATAGTATAGTGTATAGGTGTCGTGTATAGTGTCTCGTAGTGTATAGTAGTGTAGTGTATAGGGTAGTGTATAGTAGTGTAGTATACTATAGTAGTGTATAGTGTCTAGTAGTGTAGTGTATAGGGGTAGTGTATAGTAGCGTGTGTATAGTAGTGTATAGTGTATAGGTGTAGTGTATATGGTAGTGTATGGTGTATAGGTGTGTAGTGTAGTGTATAGGTGTAGTGTATATGGTAGTGTCTAGTAGATAGGTATAGTGTATAGGTGTAGTGTATAATTTATAGGTGTGTAGTGTCTAGTAGTGTATAGGCGTAGTGTATATGGTAGTGTCAAGTAGTGTATAGGTGTAGTGTGTATGGATGTGTATAGTGTAGTGTCTAGTGTATAGGTGTAGTGTATATGGTAGTGTATAGTGCATAGGTGTGTAGTGTCTAGTAGTGCATAGTGTATAGGTGGTGTATAGTGTATAGGTGTGTAGTGGTGTCTAGTAGTGTATAGGTGTAGTGTATATGGTAGTGTATAGGTGTGTAGTGTATAGGTGTAGTGTATATGGTAGTGTATAGGTGTAGTGTATATGGAAGTGTATAGGTGTGTAGTGTATAGTGTATAGGTGTAGTGTATATGGTAGTGTATAGTAGTGCATAGTGTAGACCAGTGGTTCTCAACCTGGTGTCCAGGCACCCCCTGGCGGTGCGAGATGCCCTTTCGCAGGTAGCAGTAAAGGTTCAGAACCACTGACGTGGAATGTGTCCTACACTATACACATGATAGGCCACTTTCGTTGATCTGCTATCATTTGTGATAGCCAGGAGCTACACAGCTCAGTTTAGTTTAGTGTATAGCTTAGTGTATAGTAGTTTATAGTGCAGTGTATTCATTCATCACGCATGGTCAGCGAAGGACTGCTGTGCCAAACGCGTGACCTCCTGCGACAGCGTTCGCATGAACCGTTCTCGCTGCCATCCCAGTAGCGGTGTCTCCGCTGTCGCCAGCGATTTGTCCGGGGGGTGGTGGTGGTGACCACGGAGGAGGGCAGCGCCATTCTCTTTGAGGGTCGCAGTCTCTCACTCTCTGCTTCCAACCCTTCTAACACACTTGTTGTACGTGGCTGGGCACTGCTTTGTTGCGACGTTTCTAATTCATGCAAGTCGAGTGATCTTTTTCCTGCACTGTTGTGTTGGTTCAACACGTTGCAGTAGACTTTCGCGACCAATATCCATCATGTAAGTTTTTTTGTTTAATGGTTTATGTCACGTAAATATTAAACTACAGAACTATATGCTCTTTTTCAGAAGCGACCTGGCTATCACAAGTCACAGCCCAAACGAAGTGGCTTATCATGTGTAAATGTAGAGCAGCAAATACTCTAACGCATGTTTCTCAAGTGCTGAAAAAAAGTGTGAATCCCAATGGTAATCATGGAAATTCTAGTCTTACCATGATGTCCTTTTCTTAAATATCCAAGTGTTAATGTTAACAAATTCCATGCATTTTGAAACAAAACGATGAATTCAACGCGTAATTAAGGTGCAGTGTATGTCAGAAAGTGAACGCCTCGTTTCATTAGCTCAATTAAGGGAATAATTAAAATCAGGTGTTTAACTAATTAGGTAGACCTTCAGGGGTGAGTTTGGGAGGCCCCACCCAATATGAAGATCAGGAACTTTGTGAGTTTGGTCTTCACCATACAGGTTGTGTGGAAACGGGTAATGCTAAGGATCACAATAAATGAGGTCCTCAGAGAAAAAAACAATTGATGCTCATTAGTCCAGGAAAGATTACAAAACCATTTCTAAAGATTTGGGGCTCCACCACTCCACCGTCAAGACAATCTACAAATGGAGAACGTTCAAGACCACAATCGCTACGCAGGAGCGGGTCGTCCTACCAAAATCTCTCCAGGAACATCATCCAAGAGTCACAAAAATACCCTCAGAAAAACATTCAATGATTTACAGGCCACTCTCGCTTTGGTTAATGCGAGTGTCCATGACTCGACTATCGGAAAAATAACTAATAGCAATGGTGTTCATGGAAGGATGGCAAAGCGAAAACAACTGCTCGCCAAAAAGAACATTGATGTTTGGCTGTTGTTTGCCAAAGAGCACATTAGAGAATCCACAGACTTCTAAAAACAATATTTCTCTGGACAGACGAGTCAAAGGTAGAACTTTTTGGCCTCGATGAGAAACATTGTTTGGCAAAAAAACACATTGCTTTCAAACATAACTTCATCCCAACCGCAAAGCATGCTGGCGGGAGTGTCATAGTTTGCAGCTGTTTTGCCGTCTTATCATTCGTCGACACAACCATGCATTCTGCATTGTATCAGAGGATTCTAGAGAATAACGTCAGGCCATCCCCGTCCGTGAGCTGAAGCTGAACCGGCAGTGGGTCTTGCAGCACGACAATGAGCCTAAACATACAAGCAGATCTACGAAAGAATGGCTGCAGAAGAAATTCTGCGTTTTATAATGGCCGAGTCAAAAGTCCGGACCTAAACCCCATCGAAACGTTGTGGCAGGACCTGAAGCGAGCCGTCCATGGGAAGGCAACCCTGAAATGTCACCGAGTCGAAGGAGTTCTGTAAGGAGGAATGGGCCAAAATTCCTCAATTCCCATGTGAGAGATTGACCAACGGACACAGGAAATGTTTAGTTGCAGTTATTGCTGCTCAAGGGGGTAATCATCAATTTAAAGCTTTCGTGACTGCAGGGATTCATATTCTTGGTTCTTTCGGTAAGTCACGTAGAAGGGAAACAATAAAATAATAAAAATAAAACATTAAAATTCTCACGACGTTTCGATTGCAACACAAGCAATCATCATCAGGTGTGAAAACCACAGCGTTTTCACTTCTACGTGACTTTACCGAAAGAACCAAGAATATGGGGTATCATCAGTTACTAAATCTAAAGGTTCATATACTTTCACACATGGTTATTGAATGTAGAATCATGATGAATAAATGTTGAGCTTCACGTTTGTGTCATGTTTCATCAGGTTATTTTGTTAAATGTATTATTATATACATTTAACATTCAGTACTAATAACATTTTAGGTTTGAAATATGTAAAATGTGGCCAGAAAACCCAGAGAAAATTCCACGCGACCACAGGGAGAACGTGCAAACTCCAAATATACAGGCGTCAGGATCGAAACCCACGACCTCCTGCATACAAGGCAATGGAGTTAACATCTCCTTGCCACCGTTATGGCTAGAAAGTAAGGTTTGTCACGTAAACAAAACATGCCAAATTAGTTACCAGTTCAGCACACACGAGTTGTAAGAGTACCGTAGACATTTCGGCCAGCCTCGTCAGGCGAAATCCAGAGTTGCGGAGAAATGCTGTTTCGGATTTCTGAATTAAAGAAACGTCGGTTCATTGTTTTGATTAATTTATAAACGAACAATGTTCATTTCACGGTCTTGTTCTGCGACCCATAGGTGGTTCCACGCCCCAGTTTGGGAACCGTTGCTCTTGAGGTCACAGTGGCTAGATGTTAACTACCTCGCCTGGTATACAGGAGATCGTGAGTTCGATCCTGACAACGCCTGCTGTATATTTGGACTTCAACATGCCTCTCTCCATGTGGTCGCGTGGATTTTTCTCTGGGGCCTCCGGGTTTTCCGCCTCCATTTAGAAACACGCGTTTAGAGTATTTGGCTGCAATAAATTTCCACGCGATAAACCACTTCGGTGAGCTATCAATTTGTGATTGCCAGGTCGCTTCTGAAAGAGCTCAATGTAGCTCAGTTGTTTTAATAGAGGCTCCCTTCTACTAGTAGTAGTGGTGCATCACAGGTGTGCATCTTTTGCTTTAATATTGAAAAGACAAACTTGCACATCGAGAACTTAACTTGAATGAATACACAAGACATACTTGCTGCCTTAAGACCAGATCCCAACCATGGACCATACAGTGCTCACCTGAGCTGCATCAGCTACCGGTTGCCAAACAAATAAGTCTTCTTTGGTTCTTTCGGTAAAGTCACGTAGAATGAGAATAAAATAATAAATTGATAAAATAACACAATAATATTCTCACGACGTTTCGGCCACAACACAAGCAGCCTTCATCAGGTGAAGGGACGAGACTGTCTGGTAGGACAGCGCTGGAGTGACTACCAGACAGTCTCGTCCCTTCACCTGATGAAGGCCGCTTGTGTTGTGGCCGAAACGTCGTGAGAATATTATTGTGTTATTTTATTTTATCAATTTATTATTTTAGTCTCATTCTACGTGACTTTACCGAAAGAACCAAAGAAGATGAATCATTGCAGTCACGAAAGCTTTAAATCGAAACAAATACGTGATAAGGTCGCAATCATCATACAAAGTGCCTGCCACAAATTAACCACGATACCTCGCCGATCTCAAGGAGCGTAAACCATCACGCAAACGCCGGTCATCCTCGCAGGCACAGCAGCAGCAGCAGTGGCTTTCGGCTAACCGTCAAACAAAGACGGCGGTCACCACATAACTCGGGAGCTGTCGGATAAGCTTCTTCGGCTGTCTGGAACGCTCTTGCAAAATTAGCAAGTTGCTGGAGCTATGCACTTTTAAATCAACGAGATTGACAACTCATTTTATAAACGCTTTTGATGTCCTTCCCCCACAACTGCGTTAAGCACGGTTGGCTATGTAGTGCGAAAATACGGACATACCACCACCACCCTATCAAGCCACTGCAGCGATGCACTTTCAAATCAACGAGATTGAAAACTAATTTCTTTAGAACTGCTTTGTTGTTTAGTTGTCCTCCAATGAGCACGGTTGGCTAACGGACAGTGCAAAACACACACACACACAAGTCTGGGTTTTCCTGGCTTGTGGAAGGCTGCCTTTTCTTCACATAAACCACATTGCTGCACGCCGCTACAGGAATGTGCCACAGTGCATCGACAGCTCCAGAGCAAAACAGATCGAGAGAAAAAAATAATCGTCGGTCCCCAATTTATTGATTTCACACATGGACAGACATACAAAGGAGAATGATTTCCATGTCCTAGGCAGTTAGTTCATTTAAGCATTTGAATTATTGCATTTAAGACTCGAAACATTCAAATTCAGCCAACGTGTTCAATTAACTGGTAAAGCTGCGAGTAAATGATATCGTAAAAGGACTTCCTAACACTGTCCATATTTGTGCAGTTATCCATATTCACTTCAAATGCAACTTTATAAATTGAAATTCGGTGATCAATATCAAACGGAAAAATTTCAGTCAGCATTTTTTGTTAACATGCCATCGTGTATACGACTCATCCCTTTAACAATTTTGGATAAAATAACGTAAACGCAAAAGTGTTGCGCGACTTGTTTGAAATTGTGTTCATGCATTTAAATAATTTTAACTGCAGTTATCTCGAAATATTTGTATGTATTCCACCAACCTTGTACATGAGCGTTTCTGGGCAAAAACTTTGGTTTTTTTTTACCCCCAATGACTCCTAAGCATTTCAAAATTGAAGTCATTTTGTTTTTTTAAAGTGGCAATAAAAGTTGTGTTGGCAAGTGTAGAAGCGGGAAGGACATAGTTGACGCTACACACAAATACTTCCACAAGCCGACCTGCAGACTCAAAAAATAAAGGAACAGTCCTGTTGGTCTCACACAGACAATGCAGAAACACTTAAAAGTGGGGAGGGCGAGTGGGAGATAAAGTTCCACTGGAGGTAGACGAGGCGATGAAGTAACCGTGCAAGGGTGGAATCGCGTAATGCGGGAAAGAGAACTTCCAACGTTCATCCAAGGTGCATTTACCACCGCGAGTGATAATTATTCTACCGCTAGTTTACCCAAGGAAAGCTTCACCGCTCTTCAGAGCAGGCCGTACTACTCTCCCAGCCTCAGCTCTTGCGCTCGACCCTGGGGGGGCGGGGGGGGGCTTCCCGAGAGCTCCCCCAAAAGATTTGGAATGCCTTGCTGGCAGTGATTTGGCACGCTATGGGGGGGGGGGGGGGCTCGGTGTGTTTAAGAGGTGATTTTATTACTGCAAAGACATTGAATTATTTGCATTTTATTTTAGTGTAAAATGTTTCAATAGCCCTTTGAGTGGAGGTCTTATTACATTTAAGATAAATACGGTTTTTTTCTCATTGTCAGGGGGGTCCTTCCAGGTTTGTTTTTGTTGCAATAAGGGAGCGATGGTTGCTGTGTAACAGAGTTACCTGTGGATACGTTTCAGCTTTGGGATTTTTAGGCCCATACCATGACGTGAAATGCGTTTTCTCTCTCTCTCGCGAAACCTAATTAACCACCGCTTAAGTGTAATCGGCACAAATAATAATTAGGTACATTTGGCATTTGCGCCATTTTTATAAGACAAGGCGTTGTTCACAGATGGATATTGTCTGCCAGTAGGGGGTGGAGAGAGGGGGTGGGGGCGCTAAGTAGATTTTAATTCAGTAATTTGCAGGTAATGTCTCACAATCGTTCAGTTTTACGTATGACGCTAGCGCGCACACTCACGAGCTTACCTTTCTTGTGTTTTAGAACCGTCACGGGGGTTAATTAATTACGGCGAGTTAAAATGTTGGTCTAGACAACGTTGTCGATTTACTCCCAAACACACCGGTGGGCTGTAGTTAACTTTGTTTACATGACAAAACTTACTAATGGGCTGCTGGGTAGCGGTGGGTTAATGACACAAAAATACTTGTGCAATCTAACCCAAAACACCGTTATTCTCCTATAACGTGGCGGTGGTTATGTACCTGAAGAACACCGGAAAAATATTGTGATAATATAGGGGGTAAAGCGGGCGCCCGGTGGGGAGAATCTAGATGTATCCAGCAGTATCCCTATGTCTCCTGCGATGATGCTACCCCAAGGCAGCCGCTGCACGGCCACTTATTTATACTTGCGCGACGTGGTTCCGTTAGCTCAGATTGCGTTATATATCCAATTCGCATCCGTGTTACAAAAACCGTGTTCCCCAATTACATTCATCACATTGTCTATATCCAATTTGCGTTATGAAAATGACACGTGGCGTTATAGAACAGACTGTGTACACCTCACTGGGCTGGAACTGCATTTACAACAAACAAATGGGCGCAGTGGCCATACGCAAGTGAAGGTGACTCCGCCGAGGATTGCATTGGCTTGGTGGATAATTTGTGTCGCTGTGGGAATTTTGGTTCGCATGAAGTGATTTTGGTCTCCTGCTACAGGATAGTGAAAGATCCACCAGTGGACGCAGGATACATGGACCCCTCAGTCTAATTTCCACGCTCGAGTTTTTTTTTAAAGATATGTTTTATGCACGCGTCTGCGTGTGCAATAATGGGTATGGGAAGTGGTTGTGGTGTAGCGGTAAGCACACGGTGCTACGAAGCCGGTAACCTGGGTTCGATTCACGCTCATAGCCAACATCAGCGACGATAATATGAACCGGCCCAGGACCTCCCCTAGGTCGAGACTCGGCCTCAAATGAGTACCCGATGCGGTGTGTAGCAAACATCGCCACTGGAGAAACGTGGTCGGGCGTGGTTGCTGGGCACCCACCCATCAGTGTACCCATGCCAAGCTTCACAGCTACTGCTCCTCGCTAACAGCACTTGCCCCGTCAGTCTGTTTAGGTTATACAGGGGGGGGATCTTTGTCTTTGCAGTCATCGGTGATGCAGTTGGACCCTTAAAAGGTGCCAAAAAACGCCTTTATACTTTGTGAGGCTGCTGCCAATTCTCTCTTTTTAGAGAGTTTTTCATTTGTGTGCCGAGAAAAATCCCACACCGCCACAGAATAAAACTACACCGCACCTTTCCAGAGGAAAATGCTGCCGCACAAATGGTTATATTAGCCTGTCGGCAAGCTTGCTGTATAAGCATATCACTATAAAGGCACCAAACCATGCTGCCAAGGCAGGTAGGTGCCTAACATCATTCACTGGCAGTGGTAATGGTCCCACCCCCCCCACCCCCAATGGTGTAAAGACAAGCCCTCTCCACGCGATGCTTCCAGTGGCATATACATATATGGCAATCGGGGAACATCCGATGGCCTTTACCGTACGAGTCCTTATGAAAACAACCGGTCTACAGCTGTGTGTCACTGCTGTGCGGTTGGAATGGCCGCACGTTGTTGGTGATCGAAAATGACACGGCCGCAAGCAATTCTCCTTTGAGCTGTGTACATGCAATGCTGCAACACCTGTGCGTTGTGAAATCTCTAATGCTGCTGCTGTGCCACGTAGGCTCCCATGGGTTGTGCTGTATAGCTATCGATGCTTTTTGGAGTTCGGCACCGAGATTTCACTCAGCGCGCAATGGGAGCCTTATCAGTCATTCAATTTCAAAAGGAGGAGCTGCCCAAGCGTGCAGAGAGAAACAAGCGTCGGGAGATAGTGCCGATAAAACCTGAAAACGCATGGGAGAGAAAACGAGGTGGTGATGATGATACTAACACTCCACTGTAAACCAAAGGGGGTCTTCTTCTTGTGTGTGGCTCCGTATTCACGATTCCACTTTGAAAAAATATACGGGCAGCTCGGAGACTAAGCATTGGAGTGGTGCCCAGACCATTGTCAACCACGGGGATGACGGGCGGGGGGGGGGGGGAGCCTTAAAGCCCGATATGGTGGTGACCAGAAACCAAGAGCGAGTTTGCCCTTCACAAGCCGAGGTGCGGCAAGTGACGGAACCGAATTGGCCGTGGCCACCTCCTGGAGGGGCGTGGTTGGGAGAGACCCGCTGAAGCTACGCGTTTACTTACACGCGTCGCGAAATTCCCCGTGCCGCGTTGCCCGAGGATCTCGCTTGTTAAAACGGCGTTAGTCTAAGGCACGAGAAGGGAATGTCAAAGGGCGTTTTGAACATGATAGCAGCAGCTGCTGCCCCGGCCACTATTTCGCTTTCGGTCGGTACAAAAGTATGGCGCATCTGTCAAAACTTGCACTTACTGGTAGCACACACACACGTATATATTACACATGTATACACATCATGTATGACAAAAACTTAAAATACTGCAATGTGAAATATCCAACCAAATACCCATAGCTCAACATGCACACACTACATCAAACTATTAACGCAACTTAAAAGACGTTAAAATGGCTCTAGCTCTGCGAGGAGTTTCAAAAGCACTGTGAAACTAAATAAACATTAAGACTTTCAATCCAGTAGCACAAATGCAAACGATTCATTGCTTTTAAACTGCAAAATTAACAATCTCCGCCAAGTTTAAAAAAAAAACTCGCAGACACGAACAGAACAGGTCGCAGCCAGAAAGACTGCTATCAATTTTGGTTGTAAAATTCCAATTAATTTTGTTAACTGGCACATTTAAAACTCAAAGAGAACCGGGCAATGCATATGCCAAGCACTGACAATTACTAACTTGTTGGGCACGTGGGATTGGTCCCCCTGGGGTACGAGGGCTTGGGGAAAGGAGGAGGAGGCATTGAAATGCACACAGTAGTTAAGGAAGAAATAATCACAACTTTTTTTTCCGTTTACCAACTTTTCGGGGGCGTATATGCACAAGGCATTTGTCAATAGTTATTTTTTTAAAATAAACACTACAAATAACATTGATAAAAAATAAACACTTGCATTACTGTAAGCATATTAAAAACATATTTGCTGTGGAAAGTTAGCATTTTCTAGACTAACAAGATATTTTAAACCGGAAAGAACTGGACATTACTTTGAAGATCTAACATTTTATATACTTAAGACAAGCATAAAATATAAAATCAGCGCAATTAATTGGAAAATACTGCAACAGAACTTCAATAATACGTAAAAATGGCAACAGCTGTATTGCACATTGTAACTGCAAAGACTTTTTTTAGAATCATACATTACAGATATTAAATGTTCAATTAGTCACTGGATAATTGCAACTGTTAAAAGATACACTACATAGACTACAACGGCAAGATTCAATGCACACTGTTACGACGATGCGGCATAAACATTAAGGCGGCGGTGTTAGAAATGCACGATTGTGACGATTAACTTTTTTTCACAGATTTGCAAATTGACATTTTGTCGAGTCCATACTCACAGAACTCCCTATGGGGGGGGGGGACGGCTCCAAGATTGGAAAGCTACTGCAACATCTGTGCCAGAACAACAACGCTCGCTGTGCCATCGCGACTCGACACCACAGCAGCACCACCACCACCACCAATCACCACGCTGACCCGAAGCCACTCTTTATCACTTGCTTTAAAATGCTCGTTAATTGAACCAGGTTCTTTTTTTTAAGAGCAATGCGGAGGGTTTGGGGGGGGGGGAGAGGGGGAACAAGCCAACACCGCTCATATGCATTCACAACGATGAGCGATCTTAAAATTTTCGATTAAATTTAACAAACAAAAAAACCTCTTTGTACTTGGCGCACGTGAAAAGCAACGCTTTTGCAGTCTCTACGGTAACATCGGCAAAACGGCGATATTCTAACGTGACGTTAAATTGCAGGACATCAAAACACGACCTGCCGAAACTTAACGAGAGTAACTATGCTCAACCGAGCGGTCATGCTTTTAACGGCACACATCATTCTCACCTTGACGCATAGGTGGCTCAAAGGTAAATCAACAAAACTGGACAAGATCTAAGAAAAACATCTCTCTGAAATACGTTAAAAGCGTTTCGACTTGGCGTCAAACTGAAACGTAGCAATTTCAGTTGTCTTTGGCCGCACAGACCACTTAGGCAATGGCATGAGACACAGCACCATCGGCTGACGTCACGGCAAAACCGTTTATCAAGTCATACGCTGCGTGACGGCAAATGATTACAAGCTAACATTTGTTAACAAAAAACGTCAACCAGGTGACCACAACTCACCTTGAGAGAAACTTGAGAAAACAGCCTAAAAATGGAATTGAAGAGACCAATTGAGAGGAATTGTACTGACGCAAAAAAATATGCAGTTACTGGAATTCGACTTTTCTTTAAGATATACGTTGCGTAAAAATGTTTTACTTACACCGATCACAGGCAACAGCATTAAACTAATCTGTACGATTTCCGCTGACGACAGCATTTCTCTAGTGTAACAATATCTACTTTCATAGGCATTGAAACAACGTACTACTGTTCTCACAAAATTAGCACTATGCATTTGAAAGACTTTGGAAAATATTACATTCGTCAAAATTAAACTCTCCGGAGAAGAGAAAGCATACATAGTAACTATGATTGCACTTCATGCTGTATATATGCATTCATTATATTGAAAAATGAACAGGATTCCAAAATATTGTAAACAAAATCTGAAATTTTAAGTGCACATGCATACGTTTCAAAAACTGTCCTGCATTAAAACAGCAAATTATCGAATGCATGTCATCAATTTAAGAGCACATAAACAAAAGCATTAGGTGGCCTTTGTTACCAAATTTAAACACTGTGGGGGGTAAATCAAGCTATGATACTCACCTCCCTAAAAAAAACACGAAATAAAAACAGAAAATAAAGACTCTAGTTAGTAATCAAAGCATTGATACACTGTTGACTTCAGCAATAACTAGGTAATATTAAATGTGAATATATCTAATGTAAAATTGACTGGGCAAGACACTTTATACAAAAGGGCTAATTAATGCAAGCAGTGGTACGTAAAAATGCACAAAAACTATAGCATTTTGCTCAATTAATTGCACGCAAAACAATACTGTCACTAATTCAAACTATTAAGCAAACTACTACCACTTTTAATCAGTCACAAGCATGGCATTATACTCAAAGCACAATGACATTGTCGAGAAATTAGTCATCAAAACGTCTGAAAATAACGCCAACATGTCAATGGTTCTACAAAATGGCATCAAAATGCATTCAATAAGCATGGAACTTCGGTTAACAATGATCTAAATATGCAACACAGCGTGTTAAAAAAAAGTCCGTCGCTTTACACTAAGTCCGAGGCATTAATTAAAACTGGAGATATTGGACAACCGCAATCAGCGGCCGCGACACATAACCACCTTTAACGCCGTCAATGTTTTCAAAACGTTAAAGGGGACGCAGAGCGACCCGTCAACTACTCCAAAGACGTGAATGGGGCTTAAAAGTTAACGACAGACACAAATTACTCGCCGGCGTGAACTAAAAACTGCAAGAGATTCGCCGATGACTGCAACCCAGCTCGACGCTCAAAAAAGCGGAGCGACAAGACGGATTTTAGCGCGGCAGAGAGTAAAACATCGGATCTCCCAATTAATTCGTATGGTCGGCTATGTACGGTGCGTGAAAGTTCACACAAACATTGGATGGATGTCGCATAGCTAAATTTGGAGAGCCACAGTGGCGAGACTATCTCCCTTGCCTGGTTTATACAGAGGTCATGGACCCCGACGCCTGTTCTCCCTGCGGCCGTCTGGATTGTTCTCCGGGTCCTCCGGTTTTTCCCTCCACATTAAGTCAACATCCACGCGTTTAAAGAGCAATTGGCCGCTGCTAAAGATATTCAAGCGACGATAAGCCCACGACGTTGGGCTGCTATCGTTTGTGATAGCCAGGTCGCTTCTGAAAGCGAAACATAGCAGCTCAGGGGGCCTTACCTGGTAAAATAAGAAAGTTTATTTTTAGTTTACCTGGAAAGAGGCCAAAAGCCTGCACTAGTTGTGGCTACAGAGTCCCTGATAACCCATTGTGGGGGTGAGGGAGAGGAGGAAGGGGGGGGGGCATCATCTCCTGTTTCAAGCACGTTGCCTCCACTGGAAAAACACTCGCGGCACACGGGCGGGGTTCGAACAGAGAATCACTTTGCAATGTGTAACATAATACAAAGCTTTTTCAATGTACGTTTCGGCATGAGGACCGCATAGTTTGTTAGATGTTGCTGAGCAGGAGACGAAACACACGTTGCTTTTGATAATTTCCTACATGAGTGTTTTTACATGTTACATTTAAATAAATGAATTTCAATCTGGTGTCCACTATTCAGATTAGGGGAATTCACTGTTTGTATTATCTGAATCATGAGGACCAATGTAATTATTGTTACTAGTTCCTTCACATGACCAATGACAGTTAATTAAATGCTCCACAACCTTTACACATTTAGTTGGGCCCACCACGATTCGATTGTCTACACAGAGGAATCGGCAAGAATGAATTTTGCCAACTCAAGCTGCCACCCCATTTCTCCTCGAGCCCATGGACGAGAGCAATCGTAAGCTGTACAAAGACAAGCCAATTGTTGTACATTATTCTACTTGTAGGACCACGAGTTAATATCCAAGAGGATAGCCCAATGCTGGTGGACACAATGGGTATTTCTCTCGTTAATTAACGCCATCGGAAACCTTTAGTTTAACACACAGGCTCCTTTCGCTGGGTAGGGTGGGGTGGCTTCGCATAGCTCACAGATGAGCCACACAACATATTTACGCGCACAAAGATAAATAAAGTGCTCCAAATATTGTCCTGCAGCAGTTCGGCACGAGGAGGCTCTTGCGGCTCTGTACAAGGCATCCCATTGTCCTTGTAAAGGAGAACATCTGTTAATCCAGTTTTACGACCGATTTGGTGATAAAATGTCTACGCCTGAGATCACCAACACTTACGCATGTTTCGCCAATCGAGTTAAATTTAAGCACCCTAATAAATTGTGCTCACACACGCGCGCACACAGACGCGCTGCATATATGATGCTCAAGCCATGTTTAGACTAGACAAGGCAAACAAAAGCTTAGTAGGAATCTTAAAAAGCTCGCAAACATACACGAGGTAAAAACTTTTGAGGCCAATTTTACAACCGGTGGGCAGCGGCATGGGAAAAAAAAAGACCTTTGATGCGTTAAAACGGCCTCGGAAGGGGGCACAAGGGCACATCGCACGGCAGGAGACACGCACTGGAAATGACTTAAAACACGCTGCAGAGAAAGGCGAAAACGGGAGAGACCTCACTTTAATAGAATGCAAACACGCTGCACGGAGCAGGGGGTGGGCGGGGGGGTCAAGCAACACTCCGCAACTTCACACAGTCGCAGCACCGCCAAGGAGCACCGACGACTCGGGGGGGGGGGGGTTAAAACCGGGGTTTGTTTTGGGACAAACATATTTATTCAACGACATAAAACGCATCGTACACACAGTCGTGTCACATTCTGGTTTTTTTTTTTGCTACGGAGCCTCCCCAGCCACTGTCTGTGTGACCAGTGCTGCCGCTGTCAAGAAATGGCGTGCGCGGTGTGACTGCCACCACACCCCCCCCCCCACTTCCATGGCGCCATTCCTGAAACTGTTGTCCCACCGTATAAAATGTCAAAGGTTGAGGTGGTGGTGCTGGATGGACGAGGACGTGGAGGGGGGGGGGAGAGAAATGAAAATAAATCAGAAAGAAAATAACACCCTAGATACAAAAAAAAATCTCCAAAGAACTCCCCGTGTTGTTACCGTGTGGAATTACCGCAACGTGTGGCACACCCGTGTGTGGCTACTCTGTTGCTCAACAAAGTTTGCATTAAAAAAAAGCTAAAACGTGCGGCCCTGCAATTTCCTGCTGCTACCTTTGCTGGCAAAAAGGGGGAGAGAGAGAGAGAGAGGACACCTTCCCCACCGGGTGTAATTTGGGTCTACTCCTCAACGCTGGCAACACCGTCTTGGGGAAGAGGTGGGGGAGTAACCCGCGCAACTTTACTCCACCCACACGCAGACCTGCCTAATCGCCGAGTCGGGAGATCGGAGATCGACCCCTCTGGACTGCAAATGCAGTGGCGTTAAGCAATGCAGCGTGTCCCATGCGGGCGCGTGTGCATACTGCGCGCGTTGCGTATTACTAAAAACGGGATTTCAGTTGGAATGTTTAATAAGAAGAAAAGCAACTCTTAACCAAGGTTCAAAAATCCGTGCCTGACGACCCAGTGCTGCCGTCACTGTGTTGGGGGGGGGGGGGGGGGGGGCCTGGGGCGCACTAACAGGTCACACGATGCATAGTCTCAAACGACGTTGCACCGTCGGTAGTTGTACAACCATGCGCGGTGCCGTTGGCACGACGTCCGTCCGCTTTTGCTCTACTTGACGGGGGAGAAGCTTCTATCAAGAACCGAATAAAAGCACGGAGGGCGGGGGGGACGACGACGGGTTTCCAAACAGCAACGGGGTAAACACAACCCGGCAACGCGTCGATGGGCGTGGAGGGGGAGCTACACAGTGTTAGCGTGAAAAACCTATGCACACAAATTTACACCGCGTTTGACGGTGCCTCGCACTGCAGTAAAAAAACACTGCCGACTGCCAAAAGAGATTTGGGTTTTGGGGATCACACGGCGAGTTCACGGGGGGGGGGGAGAGGCGACCACCAAAACGGGGGAGACAAACTTAAGGTGAGGGATGGGGCTGCCTCTTAACCCTATTGCTAAGAACAGGCAAGCAGCATTATCTCACACTACACACGATTTGCCCCCCTAAATTGTCCCTTCCCCATGACCAAAAAAAAAAATAACCTAACGCTGCTCAACTGGTTCACCGAGCATAATGCCGATAACAGGAGAACGAAGCATAAGCTAGGAATTGAAAATCAACGGTGTTGTGATAAGGCTGCCCCCGACTGCGTTTTTATTCAAACAGATGTTTTCTACAGAGAAGGGGATGAGAGGGAGGAGAGGGGCCCCCAGCATGGTGAAGCGTGTAGGTGTGGTGGTGTTTGTTTTTTTTACACTTTCTATTTTTTGTATAAAACTGCAATCCCCCAACGGCGTGCACACCAGCCAACAGCAACGCCCCCAAAATCTACTGGCCCTGCACAACACGAACACACACACACAGGCACACGCCATTAATGCAGCGTAGTCAATGCGGGAGACACAGCGAGGAGACACGGGGGGGAGGGGGGGGGACAGTGTGGCCCTTGGCATCTCCATCTGCTCCAAATTCTGCACACACACACACTCACACACACTCTCGCACCACCTGATCATATCACGCACACACGGGTTAGCTTCTCTTGCTAGGTCAACTGTTGCCACACGACATGCTGTTACAAGCAAAAGCTACTGTTGACACTGCGACGTCCTCCTTTGCCCTTGATCATTTGCCATCGGACGCTGATGGCAAATTACACCGGCTGTGTCCTGCTCATGCATTTGCAAATCATTTCCAGCCACTGCCTGTAAGCGAATGTTAATAGCATCTCCATAAAAACGCACAAAGACAATCCTGAAGGCTTTCGCACTTGCTTGAACCCAGGAACAAGCCCGATTCTTAAGTCTCTTTTTCAAACGGTATCCTGCCAAGCCTTTGAAAAGTAGGGAAATAATATTGCGATGTATAAATCCCAATGGAGTTCAGTAGATCATCGATTATAATCGATGATCTACTGAATTACCCGGCAGCTTCAGCGGGGAAAGGAGGTACCGGATTTTCAAAAACGGCAGATAAGCACTAATCACTACAGTATTTAAAAAAAGCGTATTTCTGCACACAGATAACATGTATTTAGATGCTGTGTTTTTTCGTGTTTACATTTGTCAATTGTGTGAAATTGGCGTAATAAACAAAGACAAAAATAAATATCTTATACTGGCACGCCTCACGGTGGTGTGGGCCGTCTCACACTGACACGCTAATCGCCAACTTACCCTTGGGTTGGGCAGCAGCTCTTTCTCCTACGACGGCAGTCCTGCTGCTGTGCTTATTTCACACCTGATGACGGCTGCTTTGTGTTGCGATCGAAACGTCGCGATCCATTATTATTTTTTCTACCTACGTGACTTTACCGAAAAAAAAACAAAGAGTAAGGATTCCTGCAGTCACGAAAGCTTCAAATCAAGATTGACTACTATAAAAAGTTTACTGTATTTACTGTACCGTGCTCACTACTTAAATCTCGAAGAGCCTGCATCACGGGGCGATGTACGTACGTACCACTACGCTCTTGTTTCAGCAACATGTAGTTGACGACCGCCGGACTGGTTACAGCCTTTGGAAAGGTTTTTTTTCCCGGGACTGCCGGATAATGTTGGAAGCCGGATAATCGATGATCAACTGTCATTTTTGCAGGATTTTGTTTTTAGTATCGGCATGTTTTCACCACTACCAATTGCATTATATGCGGTTTTTTTTGTTTAGCTACGGAAGAAAACTCATGCTGGACAAGGGGAGAACATAGAAAATGTGCCACAGCCCTCGTGCCGTGTCTGCACTGGCAGCCCTTGCAGCACCCTACCTTAAAACACAACCCCACCCTTCGCCTCCCGACCCTCTCAAACGAACGAACAGCACAAACAGAACATAATTCAACATGCGCGGCAAATGGCCACGGCAACACCACCTGCACATGCCTGTCAAGGGCACCACCACACATTTAGCAACGGAGGGGGGGGGGGACCAAGGGGAAAGGTTAAGAATCTTGAGTGCCAACAACTGTAAGAGAGGTCCCATAGTGATGGTGTAGGCGTTGATGTTGCTGCTGCTGCTGCTGTTGCCACCCAACGCATATTACAGCGCTTCTGGCGAGCACTAGGAACAGTCGCCACAATGCAACTATTTCTGTTGACGTTGCTAATTTAACCGCTGGTGCCGCTCGCCTGCCAAGGGTTTACCGCTGCTAATGATGCAGCAGCTGCTGCTGCCTCATTACAAGGGCGCTGGCGAGTGGATATTACTGCCATACAACTACGGATGCTGCTACTGTTACCAGCTATTGATGATATGGCTGATGTTGCTACTGGTGACACGGCTGATAAACATCGACTCAAAAACACCACTGCAGTAATACCTCGATATGCAAATAATCCATATATGCGAAGGTTCAGTAGAACGAACCTTGGATGTGTTACCATTATATTACATGGTAGCAAATAAAGTTAAATATTAAATGCACTGAATGAAATAACTCGTACAACTGTCCATCGACAGTACGATATAAGAATAAGTTGTAATAGCGCTGCGCATCACAATGGGTCACTGACTGTTTACATTCTCTCGGCCAAAAGACACGCAGCTACTTCCACCAAGTAACGTTTGGTGGTCAATGCAACCTTGTGACTGCACCCAAGACTACACCGGTTAATTTGAATCTATCTTACAGTACATGGTGTTTCTATTATTTATGTCAGCTTTTAGTTTAAATACAGTACAGTATAAAATATAATATTATTTTTAGTATAAAGTTTTTGTTTACCATATGAATGGAAATGTATTAAGTGTTTATAGTATTAAATGGTAAGCTACGAGAGGATGGGAACACATCTTCATATCATTAACGTTATACGTTATTCAACATACGACGTTTCGGGATACGAATTAAGCTCCAGGAACACATCCCCTGCGTATAGAGAGAGGTATCACTGTTTTACTGCTGCAAATAATTATTTTGCTGCTGCTGCTGCTAAAACGGCATCTGTTTCTGCTCCATCTGGCGACGACGCTGATACACAAGTGAAGCTGCGGATATTGATTCCATTGTTGCTACAGCTACTGGTGACACCTGCTGCTTGTAGGATGTGCCCTCATTGAAGCTGTTTATTATTTTGCTGCTGCACCTATTGATGACACTGCTGAAGATGGTTATTACACTGCTGCTGCAACATTGATGACAATGCAGCTATATCTATTTTACACGCTTTTATTAACTCACTGTCTGTTGTTGTTGTATCCTCAAATCTTGTAACTCAATGTTAACCCACTTCCCAATGTGGTATCGGCTGCAAACTTGATATACTTATGTCATACTGATGACAATACTAGATTCTGTCAGAAAAATATAAAACTTATATTTTAAAACATTATTTTTTATATGTTATGTTTCGGCTTGGGTCTAATTGTCCACGGTCCCTTACGCTATGGCAAGCTTCGGGGCCACTTCCTGGAGTCCTTCCATTACTAGTACGGTACATTTCATTAAAGCGTGTTTATAAAAAAAAATTTAAATACTACTTATTTCTGCCGCTTCTACATCTATTTCTGCTCCATCGACTTATGATATCATAGCTCATCGGATTCCTCCAGTCTAAGTAAAGATTCAGATTACGATACTGCTGCATTAAACTGCTGCTGCTGCGTCTATTGCTGATGCATTAACAAATGATACTGCTGCTACATTTGCTGCTGCTTCTACTACACCTTACTGATGACACTGCTGAAGGTGGTTATTACAACACTGCCGCCGTTACACCTGCTGCTGCTGCTACCAGACGCCCGCGGTTACCGGTGGTGCCTGCTGGCCGGGCGGCGGAGGCTGCTGATTGGCCGGCGACGAGGGGGCGGCGGCGGCGACACCGGGCGGGCCTGCGACGGGCGCGGAGCCGGGCGGGCCCTGGAGCTGTCCCTGCCCGTAGTAGGATGCCTGCTGCCTGTAGTACTCGGCCCAGGCCGCCGAATAGTCCGGCTGCGGAGCGGCCACCGGTGGCGCCGACTGCGCCGCCTGGGCCGCCTGGGCCGCCTGGGCCGCCTGAGCCGCCTGGGCGGCCTGGCCTGTTGTGGAGGTAGCGGGGGGCGGAAAAAAAACCCGCACGCAACTTAATTATGCGGTTACACGTTCAGCGCGCGCAGTCCTGCGGTAGTTTCGCAGCCCTGGGGAAATGTTGCCGCGTGTATATCCCAACCGATTCATTTGCGGTGGCGTATATTTTTCGAATTTGCTCAATTTGGATGGAACGGGGGGGGGGGGGGGAGGGGAGGCGATGAACGTACAAAACAACACTGGCACACACACACAATGGCCTTCTCCTCATGAATTACTAGCTTTACTTCCCGGCTTCGCCCGGGACTTGGATTCACCACGCCCGGCCGCCTTTGCCCCCCCAGTGGCGATGTTCACACACAACCACACGAGTTATTCGTTTGAGGCTGAGTCGACCTAGGGGAGGGCCCAGGACCGGTTCAAATAATCATCACCGGTGGTGACCGTGAGCGGGAATCGAACTCGGGTCGCCGGGTTCGTAGCGCAGCGTAGCGCTAACCGCTACACTACCGCTCCCCCACACACACACGTCCATAGCTACACACGTACACGCGCTTGCTGCAGACACGCACAACTTTCAGGGTGCGTACGGCAGTAAACGACTGAAATAATAAAGCAATGCTGCGCGAGGAACACCTTAGACCTGCGACACATTTGTATGGCACTGCTCACTTGCCGTGCTAAATATATGCATTATTGCACCCCCCCCCCCGACCCCCCCAAAAAATACAAAAGTCTATTTTCATCATTTTCGCATGGTGTACAGTCTGGAAAGTACCCAGATGCCAAATTCAAAGTTTGTTGCATGTCGGGAAGTATGCTAAACATTTTGAACAGGCTCACAAATGTATATTTTATATATATGGGGATGTCCACGGTCATTTTGGAACGTCCGCAATGAGGCGGGAGGGCAGACGAATGTTGAGGTTAATATACACCCACGGACGATTACCAGGGGATGGGCCTGCTGAATTTAAACCGTGAAGCATATGGAACAAGCGTCAAATTTCGATTTAAAGCTTTCGTGACTGCAAGGATTCATCTTCGTTGGTTCTTTCGGTAAAGTCACCACGTAGAATGAGAATAAAATAATGAATTGATAAAATAACGCAATAATATTCTCACGACGTTTCTTCTGACACAGCTTAAAGGTCGTGATCTGAACGTGGCTTTTTTTCACTCCAGCGCTGTCCTACCAGACAGTCTCGTCCCTTCACCTGATGAAGTCCGCTTGTGTTGTGGCCGAAACGTCGTGAGAATATTATTGTGTTATTTTATTTTATCAATTTATTATTTTATCCTCATTCTACGTGACTTTACCGAAAGAACCAAAGAAGATGAACAAGCGTCAATCGAGCTACCCATGGACCACATCACCGCTCTTTATAATGCATTAGACGGTACCCACAAATCGCTTGCAGTTATGAGCTACTTCGGATACCTCACAAAATGGACAATTGGTTAAAATAATGATGCTCGTTATTCGTACATTTATATCTCAGAACCACGTTGGGTCAAGTAAAGGGGGGTACGCGACCCACTGAGCTAAAGAGCTCTGTCAGAAGCAACCTGGCCACAAATGATAGCTCAACGAAGTGGCTTATCACGTGGAAATTTATAGCAGCAACATACTTTAAAAGCGTGTTTCTAAAACGTGGAGGGAAAAACTGTACGACACGGAGAAAAGTCCACACGACCAAGGAGAGAACATACAAACTCTAAATATACAGACGTCAGGATTGGGATCAAACCCACAACCTCCTGTATACCAGGTGAGGAAGTTAACATCTCACCACCATGGCACCCCTATATAATAACTACACACACTTAGTAGTATGAAGATTTTTATGATACGAGTTATATTGGTGGTGTAATGGTTCACACCATGCTATAAGTCTGGCAACCCCAATGAGTAACTGTTTCGAATGCTTCTGCTACGTGCAGAAGACCACTCAAACTTCGTCTCGTTTGTTAAGTTGTCATGGCTTCATTGGCCTAGAGGGGTCATTCATATATCATACGCATGTAATAGATGGATATCATAGGCAATATTTTGTGCAGGTATCATTTGCATAATAACATATATTAATACATGTATTCATGCATAGTTATGTAGCTAATGAAGAGCATATGTGAAGATGATGTTTAGCCATTAGACTCCTCCAAACAAGAAAACCCAATCAAAAGGCTGAAACCTGAGACCTCACAGGCCTTTGTGGCTAACGTGGCCATTATGAACCATTCAAAAGAACAAGACACTCAGCTTCGGGTTAAAGCCTGGCGCTGAACACCCTGGTCATTGTGGACCCAGAGGAGAGTGGTTGGTGATGGCTAGAAATCAGCAAACTTACCCTGCTTTTTGTAGTACTCTTCCCAGGCTTTCGTATAGTCAGTCTGGCCAGCGCCAGCCTGGCCTGTGGGATGCATTCGCGCGCGCACACACACACAGACGGTGTCAAGCCAAGGCTTACAGCCAACACTGCAAACAATGGCACTGCTAGAGCCAAACTAAACCCGGCTCTTACTGCTGTTGTCAGGAACGACTAATGCATAGCCTGCTCCTCCTGCCAACAAATTATTAGAATGCTGCCGACACAAATTAATAACAATGCTACCTTTGCCAATGAACCAAATAATTCACAATGCCATAAACCACCACTCCCATCGCACCAATAACAGAGTTCACATCTCCCCAATACCCACCCCCAGATCCATCCAATGGCTCCCATCATATTCTCAACTCCAAGATCTCCCTCTCACCTTAAAAGTAATCCAAGCATTTGCCTCTGCCTATCTCAGCCCCCCCCCCTTATCTTACCTCTCCCACTTCCCTTCCAAGTGCTCTCCGCTCGAAGAATCAAAGGCCTTTTGTAAAAGAGCAGCTAATATTGATAGGTTTTTTTGGGTTGGAGTGCATAAGTATAAAGTTTTGCAATTAATCCACCACCACCCGACAGCCAACCAAGTAAGGTTTGTCACGTAAACAAAACAGCCCATCGGTTGCGTGTTGGAAAGCAAATCGACAACATCCACAATTTGAGTAATTACATCCGGCATTATCGGGTGGGTTAATGACACATTAATGCTTACGCGATCTGCCCTGTTGAAATTTTAGATCAACTCTTGTGACTGCCTCCTCCATCACCATCTCCTGAAGCGTCGTCTTCATTGTTAAGCGTAGCTCTCCGATGTCTTCTCAGGTTGTACCGCGCGTCGTTTGGAACGATGTTTTGACGTTTCTCGCACGTGCAGGGTGTGCCTTCTTCAGCAAGTGAATTTAACCGAACCGAATTTCAGTTCCTGACAAAGGTTCCCAAGCGTGCATCTTCATTCGTAACTCCTCAAAACTATTCTTATTTTTCCCAACTTTGATGTTGACAAAAAAAAGAGTCCCGTGGACATAATTCATCACGTTCGTACATTCCTGCACAGCATCTCGGCAGTGTTGGCTCAGTAAATCATAACGGCTCATAATACATTTTAAACGTTTGGTAGAAGCACCATTCTTATAGCGCGGGAATATCGCAAGGGCGCTATGTTTCACAGACGGATACAGTCAGTGGGGAGCTATGTTGCCACATGTAACCTTAATGAGTAATTTGCAAGGACTTTTTTGTTAGCATGGACCATGATGCTGGCACACGATGGCCTATTCATTCCGAATGAAGTCATGGGATCTCACCCATCCACTGTGAAGCGGTATTTATGGCTAATACACCCACGGTCGTGGCCAGGGTGGCAATCCGGATTTGAACCGCATGCTACAGCTGGGCCAAGTCACCGCCTCAGCGTATCCGAGCCTCCTTGGTGTTGCAACAACTCAATAGCACCCACCCCCCCCCCCAACACTAAAACACAGCCAACTGGTCATCGCTTTTACTTACCGACTTTTTTGTAGTATTCCTCCCATGCCTTGGTGTAATCGGGCTGGGCAGCTTGGCCAGGGTTTTGGTTCGGATCAGCTGTTAAGGACAAGCATTTATAACAGGCAAGAAGGTGGAGGAGTTTGTCAATGCCACCGATGCCAATACAGCCAGCGATAAGATGGCGGCCTCTTTTCCTTTGCCCAGTGACCATGCGTCAATACTCTGTCACACACACCAAGCACAGTCCATCCTCGCACAATGACGCGAATTGCATACAACGCGATGAATGTAATTGGAGAACGCTTTTTGTTAAAACGCGGATGCGAATTGTACATATAACGCGATCGAGCGAATGGAATTACGTCACGCGCAAGTAGGAATAGGCGGTCATACAGCGGCTGCCTCGGCATAGCATCATCATCATCATAATCGCGCAAGGCATTAGGATGCTGCTGGATACTTCTAGTTGCTACCCACGCGCCTCAGTATTTGCTCAGCCTGCGATGGGATCTCACGTGTTATCGCAGACTGTGCTTTACCCTATAATATATTTATTGTAACCCAATTTTTCCATAACGCGGTGTGTTCTGAAGGAACGAATCTACTGCCGCATTACAGAAGACCGGACTGTATTCATCTTAAGCCAAGCGCGGCATGTGGGCACACACAAAGGCAAATACACTCAAGCAGACAAACGCAGACAATGAGAAAAAAATGAGAAAAAAATATCACGGTGTGGACTTTGGGAGAATGGTTGGGAAAGTGCCGCTAGCAAGCAGCGAGAAAGGCAGGTAGGCATAAGTGTATGTATGTTAAACATTTTTTGCACTGTATGTCGCCAACCGGGCTAATTGGAGGCGTGGGGTGGAAAGGACAACAAAATAAAAACAACTGTTCTAAAGAGATGAGTTTATCAATCTAGATTATTTTAAAGTGCATAGCTCCAGTGGCTTCCTGATATCAGAAGAACGTTCCAGAACAGCTGCAGAAGCGCATCCGAAAGTGCGCAATGCAATGACCGTCTTTATGGCTGTGAAGTTGCCAGCAATATGCCCAGCCACCTTTGCATTTCCAAATGATCTTTACAGACGAAGTACAAAGGGGACCTGATACAAATGCTATATAAACCCAAGGGGAGACACAGAACCAGTTTAAATAATTGCCACGAATATTAGCATCGGCCTAGTAATCGGGTTCACGGCAGTGCGCTAAACACTATGCCACCGTTCCCCAAACATATGCAAACATATGCATGTGCAAATGTACACAATATACACAAACAAGGACACAGGCATGCAAACACAAATTAAAAGCACAGCATATATGTGCATTCACAAAAATGCACAATCAGCATGCACACAGACAAGCCCGCTCAACACACAAGCAGACACAAAGACGAAGGATCCCCGCCCCCCCCCCCCGTATAGCCTTAAAATGATGTTAGGGCAAGTGCTGTTTGCGAGGAGCACCTATGAAGGCCAGCACAGCACACAAGGGGGTAAAAGGTGGCCGGCACCACTTCCGGCTGCCTTTGTCTCCCTAGTGGCGATGTTTACACATCGCACCAGGTTCTCATTTGAGGCCGAGTCGACCTCGGGGAGGCCCATGACCGGTTCAGGTAAGCGTCACCGGTGTTGGCCATGAACGGGAATGGAACTCGGGTGGGCTGGATTCTCACAGCACAGCGCGGTAACGGCTAAACGTGCACACACACACACACACACAGACGCCTGTAGAGTGAATCGAGTGCTCCAGCGCAGAAGTGGTTCTGTTACCCTGCACAGGGGGAGCTTGTGGAACAGGAGGCACGGCCGGCACCGGCTGGGCTGGCGGGGGCTGCTGGCCGGGCTGTTGCTGGTAGTACTGTGCGTAGTATGCCGCCCACGCCGCTGCATTTGCATCCGCCGCCGCTTTGTCTGCAGATGGGGGGGGGGGGTGAGAGGAGTGGAGGAGAGGAGAGAGTATGAGAAGGGCATGTATAGAGGTGGCAATACTAAGGCAGGGGATAGTATAAGATTGTGTAGGGGGTTGACAGTCACGCCCGCCAGGACACATATGGTTTCAGAAACATGGTCATCAACGAAGCATTTAACAAAATCTGAAAAGTTGTGCAAAGAAACAGGGAGATGCATGCTTGGAATTACACAGACGAGGACAAAAAGAACAAAAGAAAAATTAAATACTCATGTTCATGACATAATCTGAACCATTAAGAAATGCATGTGGTCTTTGGCAGGACAACGTCATGGTTATTAAATGATGCTGGGCGATGGTTAAGAAAATTAAACGCGCTGGCAGCCAAGGCATGGACAGTGCCCGAGAGGACGTCCACGGAGGAGATGGAGTCGAGAGAACAGTTCATGTGCCATGTGCCAGAAAGTTGCATCGCAGGACCGTGAGATTTTGTGGTTGTGGTGCAGTGAGTGCGGAGGTATGGTAAAGATGTTAAAGTGGGCCACTGTAATGCAGAGATAAAGCGTGGACTTTTTGGGCTGCCAGTTAATGCAGCAGTGGTAGTGAGTGCATCCGCAATCTGCCGTGCACACTCCAATAACAACCTCCATTCTCCACTAAGTGGTGGTGGACTAATATCATCAAGGAAAGTGCTTGTGCCAAACTAAGTGCACTTTGAGGCTATCATGTGGAGCAACAACAACCACCATTCGCCACTAAGTGGCGGTAACGTCACCATGGCACGGGTGCCAGGCTGTGTACTTTAAGGCCACATCAAGTGTCAAAACGCCTGCTGGTAGGTCACAGAACAGACCCAGGTGCCATGGGTTGACTGTGAAGCAATACAAACAAAACAAAGATACACCATGTAGCCTGATCAGACTGTTGGGGGGCAACTGCTATGAGTGAACACCTTTGAAGGCCGTCAAGGCACACGAGGGAGGTGGGTGGCCAACACCACGCCCGGCCGCCTTTGTCTCACCAGCGGTGATGTTTACACACCACACCAGGTACTCATTTGAGGCCGAGTCGACCTAAGGGGTAAACTTACTCGGATCTGGAGGAGCGCCTGGTTGCTGCCAAGGCTGATACTGGCCGGGCCAGCCTTGAGGGTTGGGGTACGGCTGTGGAGGAGGGGGACCACTGTGGAAGTGCAATCGAAGAACACGCCACGATCAGTACGAGGAGCAGCGTTTGAATTACCCCGTGCAGTATTTTCACAAATCCGCCAAATACTCAAGTGAAAGGGGCTACATCTAACGTGGGGTTTTCAAATGAAACGTATCTCTAAATCGGTTTGTCAAGGAGTTTGGTGGCTACTTTTCTTCGAGACATATTCGTTGCCAATTTGTGTTTATGAAGTTTGCAAATAAGGATCAACAAGAAAAAAATAACATTCCCTTCATATTTCTCAGCAAGAGATAGCATCGTGTCTCAGCGAGACAGATACAACAACATTTAGTAGGATCACCATGGTAATTTCAACATACGATGTGCTGACCAGGCTGAGGCCATCAAGAACTTCTCACTGCACTGGAGAACCCGGTTTAATCACAAGAGGCTGATAGGATCCGAACCCAGGGATCTGCGGTGCCAGCTTAGCGCTCGCAACCACAAGACCCTGGACTCTTAACAGCCACTTTCCCCCCTCTGAGCAGAATTCTCTGTCGACCCCAGGTGACAAGGCTGTACCGATACTGGATAGTGCTGACAGCAACAGATATTTATTTGGTGTAAAACTGAACAGCAAGGGGCTAATAAGGCACCGAACCAAAAACAGTTTGTAAATCGTCTCCGATAAAATTAATCTACGCTGCTTGTTAAAACATGTGAAAGCTTAGATCCAAACATTTCTTGTAAGCCTTTTTTATCCTGTTGAAATGATAATCGAGGCCGAGGAATTCATTAGTGAATGTTAATAATGATTTTGCGTTAAGTAGATATCACAGGAACATTGTAACTCATAACGCCATGTGCCAGTGGCATTTAATAAGTTTACTTTTAATACAAATGAGTTTGTGTAATAATACAATTTTGTTCATTGAAGGGTTGCCCGTAACTTAATAACTTAATATGCCAATTTAAAACTGTTCATCGGGAAGTATTGTTATAATTTAGTCTTAACAGGTTTCACGGTGTATTGCAGCCTCCAATTACTACTATTATCACTCTCGTCTCTATTCTTATGCTATGAAGAAGAGTCATAGCCCAAAACTATGCTATGAAGAAGAGTCATAGCCCAAAACGTTGTTGATTATATATTTTTAAGTTGAAGGCGGTGGTGTTATTGCCAGCTCTGTCGAGTTTTTTTTTTATCGCAATGGTGCATTCAAACATATGATCAAAGTGGCTGTGTGGATGCAAAAGCTTCACACTCACTGTTGGGGTGGGGGTCCATATGGCCCGTGAGGGCCTGGGGGACCAGGTGGGCCGGGGTATGGGCCGGGATGAGGGTAGGGAGCTGGGCCTACAGGTGCACCTGGCGGGCCAGGCGGGCCCTGCGGCAACAGAAATAAAAACAATTAATTACGTGACACAAAAAAAAGACAACCCCCAAAAAGTCTTAACAGACTGTTGGGGCAAATGGTCAGGGAGCACCTATGAAGGCCGGCACAGCACACGAAGGGGTTTGGGTGGGCAGCACCACGCCCGACCGCCTTTGTCTTCCTAGCGGCAATGTTTACACACTGCACCAGGTACACATTTGAGGCCGAGTGGACCGTGTTACACACACACACACACTCAAAAAAACACGTTAAAACACACTCACATCTGATCCAGCCCTAATGCCTCATCCACCCCCCCCCTACGGGTAACTCGACACCCGTCACCCACTTACACGCCACTTTCGAAAATCTAACGTTGTCGACAGGGTGCCGCAGTGATGACACTTGTAGCTAGAAGGGCCTGGGGGTTGGATTTCCAAATCCGGCACCTTTCCGTGCGGCGTCTCTACGTCTTCCCCGTTCTGTTGGCTGTTTTGTGAGCGAGCGTTTTTTTGTGATTGTTGGCTCGCGTTCTTATTTTTTAAACGTTTCTGCTGTGCTTTTTGCTTGTGTGTTAGTGTGCGTTAGCATGTTTTAGGCATGCCAACAGATGCGCTTGTGTATTTGTGTGTGCATGTTTTTTTTTTACATTTATACGTAGAATACAGTACACTCGGGTAGTGTATTGTACTGTATGGGTCGAGTGGTGGTGTACAGTAGTGTGGTAAATATTGTAGCGTGGTTCGGCGTAGTGTAATATGCTGTGACAGTACAGTATGTGCGAGACGTAGTGTGGAGAGTGTGTGGTGAGATTGAGGTGTCAATAGGGGTGTGAGCAAGGGGTGCGTGTGGCGAGGCTGAAGTGAGCGTGAGCAGGTTGTGTATTGTATGTCTGTGTTGAGCAGGGGGTATTGTATGTGTCTGTGTTGAGCAGGGGGTATCTGTGTACGTGTCCGTCTATGTAGTTAGTGTGTGGGGCGTGTAACCCCTTCACCTTAACAACATTAACAAATAGCCACAGTAAACACGTCAAAATAAGCTTCTGCAAGAGACCTCGGTGGGGGGGGACAGGATTCTATGATGTCTCCCAGGCCAAATCCCTACAACACTGTATGGATGAGGGAAAGACGCTCGAAACAACGAGCTGAGTGTTGGATGGCTAAAACGCAGCAAGCTAAAAACAGTACATAGCAGAGGTGGTGTATCGGTCAGTCATCTGAGTCAGTCAACCCATGGCACCTGGGTCTGTCCCGTGACCTCCTGCCAGCGGGCATTCGACACTTCACGTGGCCTTAAAGTGCACTTAGCCTGGCACAAGCGCCGTGGTGACGTCACCGCCACTCAGCGGGGAATGGCGGTTGTTGTTATTGCATCAGTCAGTCATTGCAAGTCGGTCAATCCATGGCACCTGGGACGTCACATGACCTCCTGTCATCTGGCCTTTCGCACTTCACGTGGCCTCAAGGTGCACCTAGCCTAGCACACAAGCAACGTGGGTGACGTCATCGCCATGTTGTGGAGAATGGCGGTTGTTTTAGTGTGTGGAGTTTGTATCGTCCACCCCTCGTTTTGCATGGGTTTCCTTCCATAGATAATAACACAATGTAACTGGTATTGGTCAAAAAAACATCCGAATGCTAAAGAAGTACCTGTAACTTACTCACAATCAGGATAACATATCACAAACGTAAACCCCCCCCCCCCCCCCCGACGACTTCTAAAACTTGGCAGGACCTTCCTGAAAAGTCTTGAAACTCAAAAACCATTCCTGGGTAAACATAGCGCAATAATATCCCTAACTAGCGCACTCCCATGCCCTACCGGCGCTCACCCCGTGGATGATGCTGTCGATCATGTGGCGCGCATGGTCGATCTGCTGCGGGGACCCGCGCAGGATGAACATCTTGAAGTTGGGGTCAGCGTTGGGAGGCTCGTTCCTCTGGAGCTCCACGCGGGCACCCGACGTCTGGTTGATATTCCTAATTGTCTCTCCACCTGGCAGAGGGGGTTTCCGGGTGTCGAGGAACCGGCACACACAAGAGATAATAAACCGAAAAGGCCCTTCCCTTCAGCATAGCCCACAGCGAAGTAACCAATTGCACAACCAAAGTAAGCAACTTGCAACTACTTAAATAATTATTTGCGTCTGATAAGAGTGGCCCTTGATGAGGGTGCATCTCAGTGTGCTGTACACATCCCATCCCACACATTCTATCAAAAATGATTTTTACCAGGTAAGGCCCACCTGAGGTATACAGCTCTTTTTCAGAAGTCACCTGGCCACAAATGATAGTTCAACGAATTGGCTTATGTGGAAATGTAAAGCAGCCAAAGACTGTAACTGCACATTTATAAATGTGGAGGGAAAAACCAGAGGACCCGGCGAAAAATTCACGCAACCACGGGGAGAACATACAAACTTTATATATACAGCACGCATCAGGGTTGGGATCGAACCTACGACCTCCTATATACCAGGCGAGGCAGTTAACATCTCCTACCCACAGCATCGCCACAAGGCGACTCGGCACCAGACCTGCAGGGTTAGTCTGCAAATAGGGGGCCAATGATTGCTACCGTATGTGTAATCCCAATCGAATAATTTGCAGGTATTCATAGCAAAGGTTTTTGGGTTAGATCGTGTAAGTATAAATGTGTCGTTAACCCCGCCATCACCCGACAGCCAACCAAGTAAGGTTTGTCACGTAAACAAAACGTGCTAATTGGTTACTATTTCAGCCTACCGGTGTTGCAGGATGTAATATTAGCGAAATTGTAAATATTGTGGGTTTACTCTCCATACTCTTTGATTTTCGGTAATGCCACGTAGGTATAATATAAAATAAATCACGACGCTTCGATTGCAACACAAGCAATCATCATCAGGTGGGAAAACCACAGCACTCCAACACACCAAATTCCAAAAAATGTCTCTTGTCATTTTGGTTTCCGACCCCCCGCTGATCTAGCCAAACGTGTCGATAGATCCTCCACCAGCCCCGACATAGCCGAATGAATAATTTTTTTATGTGTACAGGCATTTCATGCATCAATTATTGTTATTTGAGCTCAATGCGGCCAAGTTGAAGCACAATTCTTACACCTCCGGTTAGCACGGTTCGCTACGAAAGAAGTTCAACGTACACACAATCAACTAAGCGGTGGGATACAACTCGTTGATTTAAACGTCGGCTTTCGCGACCAATATTATCCAGAGATTTTTTTGGATTAGATTGCATAAATATAAATGTGTCGTTAAACCCGCCACCACCCAACAAAGCCAATTAGTAAGGTTTGCCAGTAAACAAAACGTGCCATTTTGTTACTACTTCCGCACACCGGTGTTTTGGAGAGTAAACCCGCAACCCATTTACAATTCGAGTACAGTAAAACCTTGGATTGTGAGTAACTTGGTCTGCGAGTGTTTTGCAATACGAGCAAAAATATTAAATAAATGTCAATTTGATAAACGAGCGAGAGGTCTTGCAATACGAGTAGTAGCGTACGTGTATACGCTGTCTGCCGAGCGTCACGTGATCACAACTGATATACGAGTGCTTTGATATACGAGTGCTTTGGATTACAAACACGTTTCTGGAACGAATTATGCTCGCAATCCAAGGTTTTACTCTTCGACGTTATTTAAGACTGAAGCAGGCGGATTTCTCCACAAATATGGCTGTCGCCTGATGATGCGAAGCGTCACGGTAATCAAATTGTAAATATTGTAGTGGATTTACTCTTCAACACACAACCGGTTAGTGCTGAACTAATTGGCATGTTTTGCTTACATGACAAACCTTACTAATTGGCTGTTGGGTGGTGGCGGGTTTTTAACACGTTCACACTTAGGCAAACGAACCCCCCAAAAAAAAACCTGTTAAAGATTGCTGCTTTATTCGTGTCCCAAGGACATTTTTTTCCTCCTTTGCGTGCTACACGAGTGAGCGTGAAATAAAGTGGGGGGGGGGGGGGGGGGTCCCCGGGGGTTGGGATCGAACGACTCTCACCTCTGCCGATGATGAGCCCCACTTTGTTGGTGGGCACTGTGAGGTTGAATTGGTCGTGCATTCCCCCGGGGGGACCCATCCACTCGTTGCGTCCAAAGCCACCGCCGCCACCGCCGCCGCCGCCCCTGCCCCGGCCACGACCCATTCCTCCAGGGCCGCCCGGTGGCCCGTTCTGCGTACACACAGGGAAACCGTTTCGCGAGTAGTCCCTCGTTAATTGAACTACAGGTCTCACTCGTTTAATGAACCAGAACAAAAAAAACACACAATTGTATTTTACCAGGTAAGGCCCACTGTGTGTGGGGGGTGGCACGTGCCCCCCCAATGATCCGATCGAAATCGATCAGATCATTGGGGTCCATTAGTAATAAATCGGCATTTTGCGACCCCCACTGCCACTGTGTAGCATATTATTATTACGTGCCAGGGACTATTTGAGATGATAGGACAATAGTCCGAGTCCATAATTGGCAATAAGTAACGGCAAAGCGGTAATAAGCGACTCAGAATTGTGCGCAGTTGCGTCTACAGTACACGACTTCCCTGAAGGCATTCACCTTCAGCGAGCGCGATGCCGATCACACAACGCGGTTCGAATTTGACCCTCGATCGATGGCTGGTGCCATCGCCGCACACGCATCAAATAAAAAAGGACAAGTCCTTACTGACTAGCAACTCCTCTATCATTTGTCATTGGTGGTGGGGTTGCCTACCCCCCCTACCTGAAAATCCTGGCTCCGCCATTGGAGCTGTGTGTCGCTCTCTTTCAGGAGTGACCTGGACTGCCACAAATGATAGCTCAACGAAAGTGACCTATCAAGTGTAAATTTATCGTAGCCAAATACTCTAAAACGCATGTTTTATTCTAAATGCGGGGGGGTGGGAAACCAGATGACCTGGAGAAAAATCCACGCGACCACGGGGAGAACACGCAAACTACAAATACACAGCAGGTGTCAGGGTCGGGATCGAATCCACAACCTCCTGCATACCAGGCGAGGTAGTTAACATCTTCTAGCCACCGTGCCACGCCTTATGCTGGGTTTGGTTTGTGGAACTTCGTGCGTATGCGGCGAACCTATTTTTACCCAAAATTTTGGTCGAGCAATTTGAATGCACACTCATTGTGCGGCTGTGCGGTCAGACGTGGGACAACACTGTTGCGTACTGTATGCGCTACTCGGAAGCATCTACCGCATTAAGCGAGGGAAACCTGAATTTCTCTAAGAGTTTTTATTTTCTTGTATGCAGCTTGATTTTAAGTCCGTTTCCTGCTGAAGATATCTATGGATTTGGATGGCGAGGTCTTCGAGCAGCGACAATATACCCATAAACAATCCATGGGAAGCCGCCGTGATGGAATGGTTACCACGCTGGACTTGCAATGCAGAAATCGCCAGTTATATTTTATCTCCCGGCGATGCAGTTGGAAATAATGGTGCACATTATATTTTGATCCTCCCCTGCCTCTTTCCATTCAGCAGCATATACATGGCCGGCAGGTTACATGTGGCGGGGTTAAATGTGGGTACATTTATAAAAATGTGTGGCCAGCGTGGAAAAGTAGACCAAAGAACCCTCAAGAGAGGGCTCTCTTTGGTAGTCAGCTCTGCTAGTCGCCCATCTCCCAGCGGTGGCGAGCAAGCCACCGCAGGGCTGCACTTGTTATCTTTAACCATGCGTGGGGACAGGCTGCTTGTGCGTGTTGCGGGATGCGCGGTGGGTTAGCGGCCAGGAGAAAAGCGACGTCCACCTCACCTGCACGCTCTGGATGAGGTCGTTGATCATCTGCGCCGCATGCTGGCAGCACTCGGGGGGGCCCATAATGGCAGCCATCTTATCAGGGGACGAGGAGTCATCTGAGGGAGGGGAGGGGGGTGGGAGGGAGGGAGCTGTTAAGGGAGCTTAAAATGAACAAGCGTGGAATGCTTGAACCTGTTTTTTTTTTATCCAATTTTGCAGACATCACAAGCTTTGGACGTTTGGACAATCCCAGTTACATTGTCCTGTTTTTTTTTAGCTATAGGAAACCAGAGAACCAGGAAGAAACCCCACGCAGAACGAATGGAGTACAATAAAGAAGAACTATAAAAAAACTATAAACTTTTTATTTTACCAGGTAAAGCTCGCTGAGCAATTTAGCTCTCTTTCAGAAGTGACCTGGCTATTACAAATGATAGCAGCTCAACGGAAGTGGGCTATCAGGTGGAAATTTGAAGGAGCCAAATACTTTAAATGCATGTCGATTCTAAATGTGGAAAGACCGGAGGACCTGGAGAAAAATCCACCCTACCACGGAGAGACACACCGCACACTCCAACTATTCAGCAGGCGTCAGGGTCGGGATCGAACCCAGGACCTCCTGTATACATACCTGTCAACCTATACATTTTAGCTGTATTCTTGTACAGGGAAATTGAGTTTTCGGGTCCATACGGCGTACAGCCGTTTCAATAGGGGCAAAAAAATATATGTGTTTGTGTTTCTCCCTTGTGATGGGACTTTATAGGATGAACGTTGAGATTTATAAGGGCACGGGGTGACCAATAATGTCCAAATTGGTCTGTAATAAGGTAGGAACTATAAAGGGGTTGCCAGGTAAATGTATACCAGGCGAGGCAGTAAACATCTCCTAGCCACCGGGACGCCCGTAAAAACATTATTAGGTTATTGTTAAACACGACTTGGCCTACAGGGAGCTTGAACTCACCTGGCTTGAACTGGATGCGAACTCCGGCCTCGTTCTGAATCTTCTTGATCATGTCACCGCTCTTGCCAATAACGACACCCACGGCAAACTTGGGCACAGGGACCTGGTGGCACAAAGACAAAGATCCCCCGGCCCCCCCCAACCATTATAGCCTGTAACAAGACTGTTGGGGCAAAAGTGCTGTTACTGAATAGCAGCACCAATGTAGGCCAGGATGGCACATGAGTGGGGGGGGGGTTGGGTGGCCAGCACCACGTCCAGCTGCCTTTTGTCTCCAGAATGGCAAAGCGTGCGCGCCCGCTCCGGGTCCTCACCTGAAGCAGAGTTGGCCTAGGGATATCTAACACGGGCCGCCGGGTTCGTGGAGTAACGCTCCCCGGTGCACCACACGCTCACCACCATGGTAGCACACAAACGCTCGCACAGATAATGGTCCCGTCGGTTTACGCTGCCACCGATTGACGATGTTTCGACTGGCGATCCGCCTCACACAGGATCCCCCCCCCCTCCCCCCCCCCATTGTTTCTACTCGCGATACATTTTTGAGTAATTATACGTTTACGATATCACGCGGCCGCCAACCTCGGCCAATCGGAGCGCCCCTAAGTGGACTGAACCCATTTAAGCCATGCATCCTTCTCAGCCCAAGGTAAGAATTTTTTTTATTTTATGCTCTATTCATGCACGTTGTTACGCTCTATTCATCCATTATTTATCCTCGTTTCTATTAATACGAATGCTTTAATGCTCTTAAAACGTGTATTTATTAAAATTGCATGTTTAAATATATAATAGACTATGTTTTTAGAGTGAAAAAAGTCAACGTCCGATTGCCTTGGAACAAATTAAACCTTTAGCATGTATTTCCTATATTCGACTAGCGATAATTTCAATTAACGATAGTTTTCGTGGAACCAATTAATATCGTCAGAACATGGCTATCACTCATTCCCAATTCCATTCATCATCATTTCCCGTCATCATTTCCCTTTCACCAAATCCACACATCACAGATTCGCCTCTCATCTATTTCATTCATCTCACCTCCACCGTTACGTTCACACATGTTGTTGTACCGTTGTTAATTATCTGTAAAGCGCCTTGGTTAATGCGCTAGATAAATTCCATTAAGATAAGATTTTCGGTTGAAGAGATAGGTTTTAGAGAGATGGGGAGGGTTTTTTTACATTGAGACCTCCTTTGCCAGTAACAAGATATAGGAATAGGTTTTACCCTTTTAACTGGCACAAAAACTGACACCTTTATTCAAGGCATCATGTTTGCAATAACCACAACACAAGCAGTCAAAATGCAAACAAAAATGACAACTCTGATAATAATATGCACTGTCCTTGAATTTGATTGGTCCACACCCGAGACAGCTTTTCTTAGAGCCTAGTCTCCATTGGCGTACGTACGCCTTTTGGCGTCTTCTGGTCCAACACCAATGGCTCTAAGAAAAGCTGTCTCGGGTGTGGACCAATCAAATTCAAGGACAGTGCACATTATTATCAGAGTTGTCATTTTTGTTTGCATTTTGACTGCTTGTGTTGTGGTTATTGCAAACATGATGCCTTGAATAAAGGTGTCAGTTTTTTTGTGCCAGTTACAAGGGTAAAACCTATTCCTATATGGGGAGGGTTGTTTTAGCTATGGGTACCCGAAGGTAAACCCATTCCAAAATAGGGGATGCACATATGAACTCGACACGGACAAGGCGCATGTCGGGAATTAAAACCCAGGCACATTTTGCCGAGGCGCAAGCCGTGCCAACTGCATCACCCCACCGCTCTTGTGGTGGCTTTCCCGATCTCACCTCCACATTGTCTCCCCCTCGGTTGGTGAAGTCCCCGGGTGCAAAGTCATCCTTGTCTCTCAGCAGCTCCAGCACGATGTCCTTCGCTTGCTGTGGGTAAGGGTGGATATATAAGTGTGGGTAGGTAGGTAAGGGTGGGTAGGTAAGGGTGGGTAGGTAAGGGTGGGTGGGTAAGGGTGGGTGGATAAGGGTGAGCGAGTGGGTAAGGGTGGGTCAGGGTGGGTGGACAAGCAGGTTAAAGGACTCATCAGGAACATGGCCAGTAAACAGCGCTGCCAAGTCAAAAATAATGCACACAAGCAACAGCACAGTTTTTGCAAGCTGGTCCGACAACTCCCCACTACCCCTTTTCCCCTACCATCATGTGAGCCGAGCCGGCGAAGCATTAAGAGATGTTATCACGACTACGGAAAACTTTACTTTCATCATCAACTGGTGGGTACGCTGCACCGCTATAATTCAGGACTGGTAGGGGGGGACAGCGAGGGGTTGTTGAACTGGGAAAGTCCCTCCCCCTCCCCGTGGCCATCGAGGTCACAATGTCCAGGCTTGCCAGGAGAGGGCGATACAGCAAGAGGATTCATTTACATTCGTGCAGCAGGATACTGAGTGTTACCTTGTGGGTTTCTCTAGGTTCTCCGTGTGTTATGAAAATGGTGTTGACCAGACATCCAAAAATAGGGCAAGATCTTTGGGAATTGTTCACACCGGTTCTGGAACAGTCTGCCTTCCCACCTGTCTGCGGTTTACCTGTGCCTCCCTGCGAAATCTGTGCCGCGTGAACGTTCTACACAGCGTTTTAAGATGCCATTCGCACGAATTACACAATATACAAAACGCTACATTTATTGTCCTCTTGCCGTATTGACGGATGCCGGCACATCATTCCACTGTGAAGGCGAGCAACACAAAAGTAGTAACAATGGGGACAAGAGCCCATCTCAACGGCCAACGATGGAATACGAACCGACGAGGCTACATCAACCTTGGGCTAGCCGTATACCTGAACTTTGTAAGGCTCCCCCATTATCCTAAGTGGCTTGTCGACGCCTGTGGGCATGGGTCCATCCTGGATCATGATCATCCTCACCCCCGCACGCTCCTGCATGTACATACAAGTACACACGCGCAATTGTTATTTCGGCATCAGCACCAGTTTTCGTGTTCTTGGCAATCATCAGTGAGCCATAGCAACATTAACTTTGGCGCGCACTCCAACACCTGTACGTACAGTTATACACGTACAAAGCATTAACACATACTCCCCAGTACAACCCTTTGTATTACACAACAACCCATGGAAGTGATGTAGTGGAATGTATGTAAAAGATGTATGTAGAACTTCTTTCACACCATACGTAGCCAACCGTGCTAAATGGAGATGAGGGGGAAGGACAAACTAAACACAAAAATCAGTTGTAAACAAATGACTTTTCAATCGACGTGATCGATTTAAAAGTGTAAAGCTCCAGTGGCTTCCTAATATCGGAAGAGCGTTCCAGACTGCCGCAGAGCGTTCCAGACTGCCGCAGAAGCGCATCTGAAAGCGCGCGATGCCGTGACTGTCTTTGTTTCATGGTTTGCTAAAAGCCGCTGCTGCAAGGATGACCGGAGTTCGTGTGACGATTTATGCTCCTTGACGAGCTCAGCGAGGTATCGTGGTTAACTTGTGGCAAGCACTTTGTGTGTACCGAGTGCGACCTTACAACATACTCGGCAACCGGAAGCCAATGCAGCTCAGCGAGCAGCGAGCGGACGCGGTCAGATCTTGCATTACCCGTCGCAACACGTAGCCAAATAGTTTTGTACACGCTGGAGCTTGGGGGGAGAGGGGGGATTGTGTGCCCCGCACCACCATTAAATAAGCAAGTGGACTAAATGTTTGACTGCTTTAGTCAACCCAGACGAGGAGAATGACTAGCAAAGCAATATAGAGACCATGAGGCTCCACTAAAATTCAAAAGGGTTGGCACTGACGAGACTAAAACAAACGCCGGCTAAAATTAAACACTGCATCCAGACAAGTGAATAACGCTAAGTTCAACTTCAAAACCAGTGCACACGCGCATCGCTCTCTCACTCCCCATCGCACCCCCCAACGCACCTGCAGGTGCTTGATGGTCTCGCCACCTTTGCCGATCACCAGCCCAACCTTGCCCGCGGGAATCATGAGCTCCTGGAACGAGGGTGCCGGCGGTGCCGCCGAAGCCGGCGGGCCGTTGCCACCGCTGCCCCCAATACCGCCCCCAATGCTGCCGCCGCCGCCGCCACCACCACCACCGTTGTTGTTGTGGTCGCCCTGAGAGCCGGGGCCATCCCGCGCGCGCTCAATGATCTGCTCAATGAGGCGCTTGGCATCCCTGTTTGTATGGGAGAGGTGGGGGAAGGACAGTGAGGATGGAGCAGACATCTGAGTTAATACCTCAGCGGGCTTTGACTGGTAGGTTAAAGTTTTATTTGTATGTTTTTGGGCAATTTGTTTGCTTTTCCTGTACTTTGTACTGTGGTGTTTGTAGTTATAACGTTCTGACCGTGCCCCTTCTAGAAATTTGTGAAAAATAGCTTTATAGCTTATCGGATTCCTCCAGCATAAGCAAATATCCTGATCTGATTCTGATTTGCTGAAAATAGTTTTTAATCAGTGGGTACTACCTAAAAATGTAACTATTTTTATTTTAACAGGTAATGGACCACGGAGCTCTGTAGCTGCTTTTCAAAAGTCACCTAGCTATCTCACAAATGACAGCTCAACGAAGTGGCTTATGTGGAAATGTATCACAGCCAAATGCTCTAAACGCACATGGATTCTAAATGGTGGGGGAAAAACCGGGAGGACATGGAGAAACATTCACGCGACAACGGGGAGAACATGAAAACTCCAAATATACAGACAAGGTCGGGATCGAACCCACGACCTCCTGTATACCAGGCGAGGTAGTTAACATCTTGCCACAGTGACACCCCATACGTATGTCAGAACTGGTATGACAAACCGATCAGAAACATGGCCACAGATGAAAACTATAGAACTAAAAAAATACGCAAAGAAGCATTAAAAGAACAGCACGCTTGGAAAGATGAACATATGGACTGGAGAACATTTGCAGGCTAATAATATAAATACTGAAGGAAACTTAAATAAGCTTGGGCAATGGATGATAGACCAATTTGTCAAAAATAACAGTGGCTAGCAAGGAACAAAACGCGTTCGAGAGAAAGTCCACCATGGAGCTGGGAACATTGATTACGGTTCATGGGTAGGTGCTGAATGGACGTGATGGGTTGCTTGGGATTTCATCCAGCAGCAGCACAGGGCAGATGAACTGATGGAGGAATCTATGCAATCATTAAACCCCTGCTGGACACACACTATCTAGTTATCCGAGAGGCCAATCAGCCAGAGGGCAATGGGACATCGCTTTGCTTCAAAGCGATCCCGAGACTTCATTCCATAAGAGGTGATTCTGTGTGCCGGCGTCAGGGTCAATTTGCCAAATGGACATAATTGGCAATACCACACCGGGTGCAGCAGCAGCAGCATAACAACACACCGGGTCCTCGTGACAGTCTCTCGAGGTCGCTGTTGCCCGTTGAGTGGCGCTGCAGAAATCTGCATCAGAAGTTGCCTAAAGATTCAGCAGCAGCCGCTTGTCCGTTCAAACGTGCCGTGGTGATACCACCAATGAGCAGTCGTACATCTTTGCAATGCCACCGTCCGCCAAGAAATTATTCCGGAAATGAATCGACGGACCGTCCGACCAAGTCTACCGCACGAGTAAAATCTTGATCTTTGGAACACGAAGCCAGCCAATCGTCATCAGCGCTGGGTGCTGCTATACGGCAACAGACTGTGAAGATTGGTGTTCAGCCGCTCATGTAAACGTTCCGTCTTCCGACTGCTTCCGACATCACGAGAACTGACTTTGAGGCACGCTGACCACCCCACAAGATTTTCTGACCGGGGTTGCGAATAGAGGGAAAAATCAATAATTATTGCGAATTTTTTATTATTATTATACCACGCACCACCGGTGTACCGCCAGTACGTTGAAATGTAACAAAATGATCCGCAAACGACTCAACTGGGATCGCAGTCGGCACCATCACACCCCGACTGTGAAACTAGCGCAGGCTGAGGAAACACCGCACACCTTCCTTCGCGACAGCATCGCACTACAGGAACAGCGATAATGCCAAATGCTGTCCTTCCCCCGCACCGCCGATTGGCCGGGCTGGCTACGTACGGTGCGAACGAAGTTCAACGCACATATGCATACTCATTTACCAACAATTATTACAATATGCACAGGATAAGTGCCGTCTGCTTTTGCGGGCTGTGCCGATGGCCAAGAGGGGTCATCGTGCCCGTCATGGGTGTGCGTGGGGTCATGCGTCTTCACCTGATGGCTTCTGGCGTTCCAGTGAGGGAGCAGGGACGCTCCGGTTTGCCTCCGCTGTCTAGGAAGACCGTGGAGAAATACGAAAAACACAAAGACCAGTTCAGCGGCGGCGAGAGACAACAGTGCACTCACAACCAATGCCGGCCGAGCCGTTCCCTCCCTGTTGGGGGGGTTCACCCTCCAATCATTCCTACAGGGGGCTGCAGGGGTCTGTGAATTGGATACCTCACATTGAGGAAGTTAAGATTAAAGTAGAACATCGATTATAATCATCCAGCGAATCGGGGGGAGGAGGGGGGGGGGGGGCAGCGGATTTTCAAAAACGCAGGATAATCACTAATCATCATTATTTATAATTGCTTATTTTTGCACATTCTTGTATGACATTATGTTTTTAGGTGTTGTTATATGGTATTTTGTTTTAATTTTGTTTACTATATGAAATTGGCATAAATAAACATACAAATGACACAAATATAAATCCTACTTTAAAAGGTACTGTATTGACTGTACCGTGCAAAGCCTCTGCATGGGGTGATGTATATACTTTCAGAATTTTCATTAAGTTGTATGTAGTGTATATTTAACACCGAAATCAAGCGTAGCTACTTTTTTTGTCACGCGCATTGTGCCGATCGCGGTTTTGCCGGAGCAGCCCGGGACCACCAGATAATCGCGCAGCGCCGGATAATCGATGATCAACTGTATTTGTTTTTTGTAGGCTGGCCCATTCCGAGGGAATGTGAAATTTCCACGAATGACTCGGGGCCACCAATGTAGATAAATCACCTTTCTAAGCACGTAAGCAGAGAAACTAGATATACTTTCACACATTTTAGAGCAGTGACAGCCACAATATGAACGTAGTAGGGATGAGACGGAATTTAGGACTATCTTATCACTTCACTTGTTTACCCAGGGGAAGATTTAGAGTCTCAAGGCTTTTTCCAAAGGGTCCTGCAAAGTGTTTGCAATGGGGGGGGGGGGGCGACGTTTCTGTGCATTATCCTAATACAGGCAAACCTAGCTTTGCGCTCAAGATGCGTTTTCTGTAGTGAGCGATAATCGAATTGGCGCTAAAGGGGGTAATTAAACTACTGTATATATGGGGGTGCCTTCAAGACAGCATTAATTTTTTCGTGCTAGCAATAAACAAGATCTTCATTGGGGTATTGGTAACAGAGCTAATAATAACTGATATAAACTGTATTTTTAAAATATATTACAACGGTATTATGTATGTACTCAAGCGTGCATTCTACTGTATTCTTCCAAGTTAGCGGAGGGAGACCTGGTTGGAGGAGCTGCTGCACTCCCAATCTGGGTCATTCTCCGATAAGAGCTCCAGGGCCTCTGTGATGATCTTAGTGATGCCCTCAAATCTACATTTTTGTGTGGTGAGGTTTCTTTGAAGTGGAGCCTGAGACTCTATCCTGGTAACCTGAGTTCTCCTGGCTAAACAAATACCGTACAGACTCCTCTACTTACCAAAAAAAGTTATGTTCCATAGGTCTGTTCGTAAGTCTATTTGTTCGTAACTTTACTCCTGTCGATTCTAAACTTGTACAGCATGCACACTAAACACGGGGAATGGCTTTAAAGGATGCATAATCTCCTGCAGATGTAGATGCCACTGGTTCTTCACGTTCTGCAGATGTAGATGCCACTGGTTCTTCACGTTCTGCAGATCTAGATGCCACTGGTTTTTCACGTTCTGCAGATGTAGATGCCACTGGTTTTTCACGTTCTGCAGATGTAGATGCCACTGGTTCTTCACGTTCTGCAGATGTAGATGCCACTGGTTCTTCACGTTCTGCAGATGTAGATGCCACTGGTTCTTCACGTTCTACAGATGTAGATGCCACTGGTTCTTCACGTTCTGCAGATGTAGATGCCACTGGTTCTTCACGTTCTACAGATGTAGATGCCACTGGTTCTTCACGTTCTGCAGATGTAGATGGCATTGGTTCTTCACGTTCTGCAGATGCCACTGGTTCTTCACGTTCTGCAGATGTAGATGCCACCACCGCCATCTATTGCGTGGCCGTTGAACTTACAACTCTGTCCAAACAGGCAACTAGACATACGGGGGACACAGGTTTGTTCGAATCTCTGCAAGTTCATAAGTAGAATGTTCGTAAGTAGAAGAGTCCCTGTTCTGCCATTTATTCATTTTACATCTTTTTCAAGTCATCTCAACTGTGAACCATGATAGCTGAATCGTGTGGGGGGGGGGGGGGGGGGGGGGGGTGGGTACGTTTTCCTCAGCCAGCACTACAACATGTTCATTCCAAAGCGATTTTTTCGATATTTTGTTCATTTAAAGTTTTTTTTTTTTTTAAGTAGAAACTCTCCCACACACAGCGCTATAACAAATCGGCGCTCTATGGGGGTAGCACTTTACAATTTTTTTTATTTCATCAAATGTTTTGCTATCTCATTTCCATGGTTTGTTAGCTGGTGTATCGCAAGTGCAAGGATCTATTTTAACTCGCAAGTCATCAAATGTGTAAGCCTCCCTAGCCCACCACAGCACGGATACGCAGGCAGAGGTACGGAGAAACCGTGAACCCATCCCACTCACCAGGTGAGATCTGAATCTTGCAGCCCGACTCATTCTGTAGCTTGGAAATGTTTTCACCTCCCCTGCCGATGACTACAAGGAGCAAGCAGACAGCACAGGGTTAGTTGGGGATTAAGGGCTGGGGATTTGGGAAGATTGGTGGGGTTTTAAGGACTGGGTAGGGGTTACAGACTGCAGTGTAGGCAGGTCTTGATAAACATTCGTGTTGCCTAGGATAAAATTTTAGTTTTTTTAAAAATACCTCCTGACCATCCAATTTCATAGACTTTCATCAAATAAATATTTATTAGTTTGAGCGCTATCATGCAAGGATATCATGAAGTTGCTATTTCCAAACCGGCACTAGTTTCGCAGAGTTGCTTTGTGGAATCCAAATTGCGTATTTGGCAGGTAAATGTTCAAATGTTGACCGTGATGCCGGTACACGATGGCATCTTCATCTTAAATGAAGGCAGGGAACATCCACTCTGAAAGAGGCGGTGCATTGTATTTTATAGTGACTACACCCGCAGTAATAACCATGGTGGTCTGCCATATTTGAACCACGAACCAATGCAACATAAGGGAAAGAATCAGAATGTTAATTTTCTTCTGGAGGAATCCCATAAGCTATACAGCTCTTTTTCACAGAAGTGCAATCGGGGCCGGTCAGAACTTTACAACAAAAAATACAAAAACACGACAGGAGTGCATCTTATAAGAAACGTAAACAAAGAAAAAAATATATACAAATAAAACGGAACTATGTTTTTATCTTACCAGGTAAAGCCCACTGAGCTATTAGCTTTTTTAGCTGTGACCTGGCCACAGATGATAGCTCAACAAACTGGCTTATCACGTGGAAATGTATAGCACTGGGCCATGGTCACCGCCCCTTGTTCCACCAGGAAGAAGCACTAAAGACAGAACGATTAGTCGATCAAGTGGCAAAAAATTCTGGCAGTCAAGCTCGTTTAAAAATATAGCGGCAGGCCCCACATCCCAAAGGGAGGAACCTCCCCACCCATAAGCCACATTCAGTATGATGCACCACCATTCAGCACCATCCATTACTGGGAGGTAATGGATGGGAATCCAGCATCACACCTGAGGCCAATACTTTTACTTACCCCCCCCCCCCAACTCTTTTCATATTATCCCAGTAGCTGAAAAATCCAACTGATAATTGGTAATCGATCAATAAAACAATTGACTATCCCGGCTGTAGAGCCGCATAGACAGTGGTGGTGAGTGGGGAGTGATAACGGAAGAGGCGATACTCACTGAGTCCCACCATTCTGTCCGGCACTTTAAATTCTTCTGTCACTTGTGACCTGCCAATAAAATCGACAAAAAGAGTTCCCCTTCTTAACAAACTGTGGTCAGATATAGACAGTCAAAATAATAAAATACAGCCATCGATAATTTTTATGCTTTCCAAAAAGGCTGAAATTATATTCTTAGTTTTTTCGGTAAAGTCACGTTGAAGAGAAACAACAAAATAACAAAATATATATAAAACAATAAAAAATTCTCACGACGTTTCGACCATAACTCAAACGGTCATCATCAGGTGTTCTCACGACGTTTCGACCATAACTCAAACGGTCATCATCAGGTGTTCATCACCTGATGATGACCGTTTGAGTTATGGTCGAAACGTCGTGAGAATTTTTTGTTGTTTTATATATATTTTGTTATTTTGTTGTTTCTCTTCAACGTGACTTTACCGATGATGACCGTTTGAGTTATGGTCGAAACGTCGTGAGAATTTTTTGTTGTTTTATATATATTTTGTTATTTTGTTGTTTCTCTTCAACGTGACTTTACCGATGATGACCGTTTGAGTTATGGTCGAAACGTCGTGAGAATTTTTTGTTGTTTTATATATATTTTGTTATTTTGTTGTTTCTCTTCAACGTGACTTTACCGAAAAAACTAAGAATATGAATTACTGCAGTCACGAAAGCTTTAAATCAAAATTTAAGGCTGAAATTGTTCATGCGTTAGCTCTGTCCATCTGCCTCGAACACAGGGCCACAATCACTCTTAAAAAAAATATGCAATGTTATTGAAATATTACTTTAATGTTGCATCGTTATTTGGGACCTCACATGCCACGTACACACCTCCGCTCCTCCCCAATGATGCGTGGCGTCATTATAGTGAATAAAAAACTAGTGAGAACACGTTAGAAAGCCTGACGGAATCTATACATGTATGATTTTCTTCCTCGTTCTAATGTTCAACTTGTTAAAATACTGTCAGACAACGATCTATTCCTGCAAATTACGTCAAAGGTTTATTATTTAATCTTACTTAACTTTAAACTAATCTTTTTTCTATTTTACCAGGTAAGGCCCACTGAGCTATATGTATCTCTTTTTCAGTAGCGACCTGGCCACAAATGACAGCTCAACAAAGTGGCTTATCATGTGGAAATTTATAGCAAATACGAAATGTGGATGGAAAAACCAGAGGACACGGAGAAAAAAAAACGCAAACTCCAAATATACAGCAGGCGTCGTCAGGGTTGGGATCGAACCCGCAACCTCCTGCATATCAGGCGAGGCATTTAACATCTCCAACCTACCGTGGGGCAGGACAACAAGTAAAATAAGTAACGTTTTTTTTTAAACACGCTTTAATGAAATGTACCGTACTAGTAATGGCAGAACTCCACGACTCCAGGAAGTGGCCCCGAAGCTTGCCATAACGTAAGGAACCGTGGTTATTTACAGCCAACGTCAGTTTACCGTGGACAATTAGAGCCAAGCCGAAAACATAACATATAAAAAATAAGGTACTAAAATATGTTTAATATATTTTTTTATGATAGAATATAGTATTGTCATCAGTATGACATAAGTATATCAAGTTTGCAGTCGATACCACATTGGGAAGTGGGTAAAAATTGAGTTACAAAATTTGAGCACACAGCAACAACAGAGTGAGTTAATAAAAAGCGTGTAAAATCAATGCACCTTTGTTGCGCAACCATTGCCGCAAGCTGGGCACCGATGGCTGGGGGGGAAAGAGAGAAAAAGGTCAGGGGAAAAAAACCCACTCAAATAATACCAACTTTTGTTCTGGAAATGATTGCAATGATGAAGACAATTGTGAACATTTAAAGTCGTGATGGCTTTTGCCTCCACTGCATGAAATGGGGAAACTTTAAACAAACAAAAAAAACTGCCTTACGGTCATTTTTCGCAGCAAACTTTTTACACTCCGGTCCATCTGCAAAAACAAACCCACACGTCAGGTTAACTTAGCGTTTAACTGAAAACACACTTGGCTGAAAAGTAACACAATCATAATAATTGATAAAGATCTGAATCTTTATTTATACTGGGGGAATCCGATGAGCTATAAAGCTCTTTTTCTCAGATGTCCAATCGGGGCGGGTCAGTGTAACAACAAGAATACAAAAATGCCACCTCTCGACTCTTAAGACACTTTCCCCTCTGAGCTGATGCTTGGTCAACCCAAAGTGCTTCAGAGTAGCACAGTTGGCTAGGTACGGTGCAAAAGAAGCTCAGCATACACATGTGGAGATAGCAGCAGGAGGAAAGCCTCTCCATGCAAGTTGCTGACCGAGCTGGGAATTCATCATCGGGTTAAATCACGGCTGGCCATTCCCTCCTTACCCGCGTCCTCCACCATGGGCCGCTTCTGCGCCACAAAGGGAAACATATTGGCAGTCTCGACGGCGGGGGGAGGCAGCACTCCCACGGCGGTGTTGGCCGGCGGGCCCGTGCTCGCCTCCACGCCGATCTTTGCCGCAACCTGCAGCCGCAAACAAAGGATCCCCCACCCCCCCACCATGAAGTTACCGTGCTTCAACTCAGAAGTGGCCTTCATAGCAAGGCCAACGCGAGATACCGGCGGGGGACCCCTGGTGGACTTTAGTGCGACCCCTCGACAAGACAAATGTGAACACCCCCCCACCCTTCATCGTTGTTGTGCTGTCAAACCCCAATGGTTTCAAATGCGTGACGGATCTCACACCGATGTCCTATCGGCAAAACAATTTGTGAAGAATGCCGTTCTACAGCTACGATGGCGACGGTTCATGTGAACTTCGCTTATCGATTCCTCCTCTCATTTTGACCTGGCCTCCCGACAGTCTGCAGCTCACAACACACTCGCTCAACATACTGTAGGTCACAACACTTGCCTTTACCCACACCTCCGATAATATTCACGGTTGGCTACGCACGGAGCAAAAATGAGTTCAACGTGCATGTATGCTGAACTTCTGGATATGGAGGAAGGTCAACAAACTAAACACAAAAAAGCAGTTGTAAGGAAATTCGTTTTCAATTTAGTATAGTAGTGCAGTGTATTTTAGTGGACAGTGTAGTGTGCGTAGTGTATAGTGTAGTATGTTGAACTTTTCGCACCGTAGGTAGCAAACCACGCTAATCGGAGATGCGGGGGAAAGGACAACTAAACACAAAAAGCATCTCTAAAGAAATGAGTTTTCAATCTCACGTACAAATACATACACTGCTTTAATTTGGAATCCTCCCCAACCCCAAGTTCCTACAAGCCACGCACAATTTAAGAAACTTGTCAACTCTCATCTATTACAACTCAGAAACCGTGATGGCACAAACTTTAAGAGTGTACTCGTTGCGGAAGGTTGCTACTGCCGTGTGCGAGCCACATATGAAGAGCGTGATGGTGCATAGAGGCTCGTGCGAGTGAACCAGCAATATCGGGACTGCTCTACTTACAAAGGCATTAGGTGACGGAGGTATGTTCGTAAGTCCAACTTTACTCCTATTCCAAACATTGTACGGCAAGTACACATTAAAAAAATGGGGAATGGCTTTAAAAGTTGTACAATCTCCTGTAGATGCCGCTGGTTCTTCAAGTTCTGCAGATGTAGATGCCACCACCCGCCATCTATTGCGAGGCGGTTGAAGTTACGACTCTCGGTCCGAACACACAACTGTACTGAGACCGACTGCCGATCTTAATTTTACGGGTTTTTTTATTTTATTTTACTCGCTCACTGGCGCACACACACACGGGACAGAGATTACTGTCATCTGGGCCAAGTGGATTTGTCCGGTACGTTACGGGGTTGTGGCTCGCGAGGGACGATGAGGACTCGTGTGTGGGGGGAGGGGGGCCTCATCCAGCAGTGAAATCGACAGCGATTGGCAACAACTTTACAAGGTTTCGATCTAAAGCTTTCGTGACTTTCAAGGATTCATCTTCTTTGGTTCTTTCGGTAGAGTCACCACCACCACGTAAGAACTTTACGAGGAGCCGACTCTCAGTTCCCTGTTGAATGATGGCCGACGACGTTGGGGGCCTCGCACGGCGACACCACAAGGCCACACCGCCTAGGCCAACTTTTTTTTATTTTAAAATCCAAAATCAACTATTTTAATACAATAAACACACGCGGGACCGAACCACGTCTCAGACGGATGAAATTATTTACACGTTTTAACTTTTAATCGTATTTTGCTGTCCACCTCAGGCTTCGCTAGGCCAGCACTATAGGCCTCAACACCGCCCCCCTCCTCCTCCCCGCCGCGTCTGAGTTTTTAACACCTGAGGATGTTTAATTTTAATTTGAACGACCGCCCATCGAGTGTTAACGTGTACGAGGTTACGTCCAGCCGAGGCACACGGAGCGGTGAAATCGATTGATGCGTAAAGTTGCTGCGCGGATTGTCAATATCGCCGCCGGGGTCGTGCGAGTGTTGAGGGGCCTTCATCTAGCAGTGGATTGACCATGACGACGAGTGAGTAAAACGATCGAGTAACAACGTGGATTTGTTTGGGGGAAAAAACGCTGGCTCCTATTTCAGCGCTCCGTCTCCATGAGGGTTGTATGGGGTGGTGGTGAACATGACCTAGGACGCCTTCCATTCAAACGCACGAATAGTTAAAACCACAACAAAAACCGTCTCGCAATAAAGACGCAAACGGGGGGGGGTTGTTTTTTAATCCTATGGATTTCTACTTTCGAGTCAATTCCCGTCGCCTTCCGGCGACAACGCGCGCGGCCGCTTAGGCCTAAAGCGTCAGCCCGAGGCAAAAAAACAAAACCACACAAACAAGCCACGGATAGCAAAGACATTATTATTATCATTATTTTACGACAACGCTCCGCATCGTAACAACGGCAATACGGGACTCTCGTTACCATCCTGGCGCGTTGAACGGCGTCAGCGAAGGCGTCGCTCTTGATTCCTCCCGAGTTCGCCATCCCCGCGCCGCCCTGAGGAGTCACCACACCGCCCAGCGCGAACTCCGCCATTACAGCGAGCGCGGCCTCCTCCACAGCGCGCGAAATGGCGGTGGTGGCTACGCCCCGCCCCCACCCAAGCCCCACCCACCACCCGTCAAAATACCCGGCGGTCGCGCACAATGCGCACGCGCGGGACGATCGACGCGCCCCCAGCCCCGCCCCTACATTTGACATCCCCCTCCCCCCCCCCGGCTCTCGTCGATCAGCGCCACTGCGCATGCGCGGTGAAGTCACCTCGAATAAAAAAAAAATTCTATTTAAAGCTTTCGTGACTGCAGGGATTCATATTCTTGGTTCTTTCGGTAAAGTCACCACCACGTAGAAGGGGAAACAATAAAATAATAAAAATATAAAACAATTAAATTATTGTAAAACAATAAAATTATTATTCTTGGTTCTTTCGGTAAAGTCACCACCACGTAGATAGGGAAACAATAAAATACTATTGTTTTATATTTCTATTATTTTATTGTTTTATATTTCTATTATTTTATTGTTTTATATTTCTATTATTTTATTGTTTCCCTTCTACGTGGTGGTGACTTTACCGAAAGAACCAAGAATATTAATCCCCCTCGAAGAATTTTTTTTATTTAAAGCTTTCGTGACTGCAGTAATTCATATTCTTAGCTCTTTCGGTAAAGTCACGTTGAAGGGAAACAATAAAATAATAAAATATATATAACAATAAAAAATTCTCACGACGTTTCGACCATAACACAAACGGTCGTCATCAGGTGTGTCGGTTTGCATAAATTTATTTATTTTTAAACGGTGTATTTATTAATAATAAAAAAACGTCAGCGCCACGCGCAGCGATAGATGGACGAGTCCATAGATGGACGAGTCCATCTATGTTCTGAAAAGAGGAGGGGGGAGACGAAAAATTAATGTATGCTGTCTGAAAGCCACCGTAAGCGTGAACAATCAATTAAGACCTGAAATGGTTTATCAAATCCTTCCAATGATTGCTAAACCAGAATCCATCTTCTCGGTTGAAATTGTCTCTGTGTTTGTATATGTGGATAGCCTCATGAACGAATCTCTCGTGGTAGCCAGATGGTTTGCAAAGAACCTCTGTCTTGGAGAAGTCAATGTCATGTGAGCCTACTGAATTATAACAATGATCAATCAATTAAGACCTGAAATGGTTTATCAAATCCTTCCAATGATTCCTAAGCCAGAATCCATCTTCTCGGTTGAAATTGTCTCTGTGTTTGTATATGTGGATAGCCTCATGAACGAATCTCTCGTGGTAGCCAGATGGCTTGCAAAGAACCTCTGTCTTGGAGAAGTCAATGTCATGTGAGCCTACTGAATTATAACAATGATCAATCAATTAAGACCTGAAATGGTTTATCAAATCCTTCCAATGATTGCTAAGCCAGAATCCATCTTCTCGGTTGAAATTGTCTCTGTGCTTGTATATGTGGATAGCCTCATGAACGAATCTCTCGTGGTAGCCAGATGGCTTACAAAGAACCTCTGTCTTGGAGAAGTCAATGTCATGTGAGCCTACTGAATTATAACAGTGATCTGCCACGGCCGAGGTGTTGGTCCTACCGTGTTTAAGGTCTGCATTGTGTTCTCGAATGCGGTCCGAGACATGTCGTTTGGTTTCTCCAATGTAACTACTACCACAGAGGCAACTTAGTTTGTAGACGCCAGGGTACTGTATGTCCGGAATCACATCTTTTACAGACGGTCACAGTCCCTATGATCACTGTTACATTGTTACATTGGATTTATGGCTTTTATTTTGGTGATTTCGAATTTTTTTTTAGTTTTGGCCATGTTTTTGTTTATTGTAGTACGGAGTTAGACTGATGGCTTTAATCTTAGTTGACTTGTGGTTGTTGTTGTTGTTATTTGACTTGCATCCCACTGGGATTTTTCCACACAGCGTTGGTGTACGGTGCTATTTCAGGAATATTTTGATATTTTTTTTCCTGTATTTTCTGTTTGCACAGTCACACAAAGTCACTTTAAGATGTTTTTTTGTTTGTTGTGGTTGCACCCGATTCAAGAGCCGAATGGCTCACAGGGCTATACCAAAATAAATGAAACAACTATGAACTAAAATATGAACTACGATTTAAAGCTTTTGTGACTTTCAAGGATTCATCTTCTTTGGTTCTTTCGGTAAAGTCACCACGTAGAATGAGAATAAAATAATAAATTGTGTGTTTTTTAAATTGTATCAATTTATTATTTTATTCTCATTATACGTGGTGACTTTACCGAAAGAACCAAAGCAGATAACTATGAACTATTGTAATGTGTTGTTGAAACGGACCTGGATCGTCGGTCGTCGCGAGAGAGCGCAGTGCGCATGCGCGAACACAGTTTTGGCGGGAAAATTGAGCTGAGCTGGCACAGGTGGGGAGGGGGTGGGGTCTGGTGGTGACCCGGGCAGTCATGCCATATCAGAGGCTTTACCTCTATGCTAGCCGGCTGTTACATCAGAGGCTTAACCTCTAGATTGGTAGTTTGCTCAATTATACGAATACATGTTACGGTGCCCGCTATTTTGCCCTTCCCAGGACGGGTGTAGATTGCAGTGAATCTGAAATATTCAATAGAAAAATTGTTCAGCTTATGATTATTGAGGGGGGGTGGGTGGGGGTGTGCCCCATCTGGAGTGACGTCACCCGCTGTTGGTTATTGTGGAGGGCTGCGGCCATGTTCAGTTTCAGGTTATTTATTTATTTATTTTGGTATAGCCCTGTGGGCCATTCGGCTGTTGAATCGGGTGCAACCACAACAAACAACAAACAAAAACACGAACAATAACAACATCTTAAAGTGACTCTGTGTGACTTTGTGCAAACAGAAAATCCATGAAAAAAAAACAGCAAAATATTCCTGAAAAAAGCACAGTACATTACCAACGCTGTGTTACAAAAAATCCCAGTGGGATGCAAGTCAAACAACAACAACAACCACCACAAGACAACTTAGATTAAGGCCATCAGTCTAACTCCGTACTACAACAAACAAAACAAACATGTCCAAACCAAAAAAACTTTTCGAAATCACCAAAAAATAAAGCCATAATTGCAACGTAACAGTGATCATAGGAACTGTGACTGAATTTTTTTACAATAAACTACATAAATAACATGTAACACCTAATCCTAGAGCCATAGCTGGCTGCATGAGTTACTCCACAACAACAGAAGCATCAGTCGGAGTATCAAATTTTTCAATGCACCTTTAAGATCAGCACGCTAAATCAAAATACAGATAATACTTTGCTGTGTCATCTGAAGCGAAAACATTTTATTTTATTTTACGCCAATGAATAGCAGTGGCAGCTAGGGGTGTACAACTCCTCTAGAGCAGTTTTGAGAGAAGATCTCATCGGTAGCGATTCAAGTTGCAGTTTATTGGCAATCGCATTCCAGACCCTGGGGGCATCAATAGCAAAGGCCCTTCCTCCGGTTTTTGTACGGCAATAGGGAATGTGAAGCTGGTAAATGAGCGAAGACCTGAGGTCAAATTTGTTCTTTGAAACAGAGAGGAGATCCAGTAGGTTGTCTGCGGATTTTTTGTGAGTACATCGTGAATAAATAAGATCTGGTGCACAAGCCGTCGAACATTAAGAGATGTTAAGTTTGACCCAATGTAGAGATCACAGTGGTGAGTCCTATATGGGCAGTTCAATGTAAATCTTAAGGCCGAGTGATAGATGGAATCAAGCTTCTTCAGTACAGTACTTGGGGCTGATTTATACACGATGCCACAGTAATCAAGTAGAGGCAGTATGGTAGCTTTTATCAATTCCAAACGGAACATTGGGGGGGAAGCAGTGCTTGTGTCGATACAGAAAACCAATTTTTATTTTTGTCTTTTTAACAATATAATCAATGTGATCTTCAAAATTCAGTTTTTAAACCAGGATGACCCCAAGATACTTATAGGTCTTGACTTGCTATATTTGATAATTATTTAAGGAATGTAATTGGGGAAAAATAACTTCCTGCTTTAGTCCTGGTGAGAAGCATTGCACCTTGATTTTGGAGGTATTCAGGACTAGTTTAAGTGCAACTAGCTGATGTTGTAGTTTGTTGAAATCACCCTGGAGCTTAGCAATCACGTCATCCGGAGAGCGGCCAGCAGTAATCAGTATCGTGTCATCTGCAAAAAGATGTTCCCTGGAATGATTCAGGTCAGTGCCCAAGTCATTGACATAGAGAGAGAACAAGAGGGGGCCTAGGATGGAACCCTGTGGAACCCCTTTTGTTATCTTAACACTGTTTGACCTCCAACCATCTGTGAACACAGTTTGGGTGCGAGAAAAGAGGTAATTTTGTAACCATTTTACTGCGTTTTCGGAAAAACCGAGGCAACTTAGTTTACTAAGCAGGGTGTTGTGGTCTACTGTATCAAAAAACTTTGGACATGTCTAGAAAAAGACAGGCACAGTACTGCTTATTATCAAGGCTACTGTAAATGTGATTCAGAGAGTCCAATGCAGCAGATGTGGTGCTGTGTGGGGGCGAACGTCCCCCGCCATCACCGAATTGTCGGGGCTGTTGCCTCCCGACTCCCCCGCTACATTCGTCCCACTACCCCCCGGCAGTGTTCCGTGGGGTCCGGGCTACCAGCCCCCACTTCCTCGCCCCCCTGTACCCCCGACTTCGTTGCTGACCGCGTCGGCATGTTTCAATCGGTGAGGTCGCCGGCCCTACACTTGCGACGCGCTGCGCTGTTCAGTGGCGGCGTGCCGCGGTGAGCGCGCTCGCAAAGTAAAACCCCGTCCCGCACGTGAAGAAATAGGAGCGGCGCGCCGACGCGGGATTCCCTCCCACCCACGCTCCACGCGCTCAAGCGAAAACAAACACGCCGCGATCACTTCGCTCCGATCTAAAGGGCCGTTTAAACAGCCGCGCGAATACGCGCACGCCAGGCGCTTAAATCGCTACCTCGCTATTAGACAGTCACACAGGCGCGCGAGCGTTAGGCGCTACTGTAGGCGATTGCGCAGGTACGCGAGCGCTGGGCACCACCAGAAATAGTCGCGTAGGTGCGCGCGCGCTGAACACCACTGTAAACAATCGTACAGGTACGTAAACAGCAAGCACGCTCTACCCTCCTCTTCACACCCCCAAAAGACCACACGACACAGTTTTATCCCCCCACTAGTGATTTTATTTACCGTGAGCAACCCGTTAAGCTACGCGTAATTGTATGGGTCAGCGGATGCCAGCCTATTCTCCCTGGGATTCTAGACCGAATTTACTCTGTCTGTCGCTCCGCTCGCTACGCTCGATTAAATCACTCAGAACTCACTTCTCTCACTCGCTCTTACTTCCCCTCTGCTGCGCTGAACGCTGTAGGAGGACGAGGCTGAGAGTCGTCACTGTAGAGAGTTGAAGCTGGCGGCGTTGGAGTTCGTCACACGGACGTCTCGAACGGCTGACTTCCCTCCTGCGTGGACCGCGATGATTTTGAAGAAGAAGATCTCCCTCGCTACGCTAAGCCTCCGTATTTTATCCACCCAAAAAGGCATTCAGATGCTTCTGCACCCGCGCCTGCCCTGTCCATTCAGAGGCCAAGTTATTCTCGTCTCTTTCACATTCGGATCCGTGACCTTACCTACAACAAAAGGCATTCGGATGCTTCCGCACCCCGTGCTGCCTTGTCCATTCAGATTTCGGAATGCTCCTGTCCCGTTGTTATTGGGGTCCATAATTTTACCTATGACAAAGGCGTATCGCTGTTCCCACGCCCCGTGCCGCCCTGTCCATTCGGATGTCGGCTATTCTTATCCCTTTGTTATCTAGATCCCTGATCCTAACATAGGCATTTCGATCCATACCCCCTTTGCCTCCTGACTCGTGCTTGTGTGTGTGCGGTTTCACTCGGGGTGGCTCAACAGCCTCTGCCGTGACCACGCAACTTTCATATCAGGTCACGGCGCCGTGGTGCACGTCAGCCACGGGGGGAGATCGTCCAATTTCCCGGCCGCAGGAAACCACGAAGCTTGATCCCATTATGGGCTTCTGGATAAAAACCCGTCGGCCAGGTGACCTTCCCTCCCGGCTCTGCGTGGGGTGTGTGTGTGCGTTCGTGCGGGGGGGGGGGGAGTTATCACCCCCCAGTGGTGGTCTCACGGCGGTGGGTACGGCCCCCGACGGAGCTGCTCGGCTGCGGCGGCACCACAAGTGCTGTGAGCGAGCACCTATGGAGGCCGCACGGCGCGCGAGGGGGTGGGTGGCCAGCGCCACGCCCGGCCGCCTTTGTCTCCCCAGTGGCAATGTTTACACACCATACCAGTTACTCATTTGAGGCCGAGCCTACCTAGGCGAGGCCCAGGACCGGTTCAGATAATCGTCACCGGTTTTGGCCGTGAGCGGGAATCGATCCCGGGTCGCCGGGTTCGTAGCGCAGCGTAGCGCTAATCGCTGCACCACCGCTCCCCACGACTCCCCCCACACACCACACACCACACAAAGCCATGCACGGCGGCGGCGGTCCTCTTCAGCTTCAGCAACAACGACGAGGACGCGAGGTGGACGTGCTATGGGGCAACACCACCACCATCACGGCTCCTGTGCCCACCGCTCGCCAGCAGCTCGCTGGGAGGGATCAATCAGCTCGTTGGGAGGGATCAATCAGCTCGCTGGGATCGATCAATCAATCAGCTTGCTGGGAGGAATCAATCAATCAGCTCGCTGGGAGGGATAAATCAGCTCGCTGGGATCGATCAATCAATCAGCTTGCTGGGAGGGATCAATCAATCAGCTCTCTGGGAGGAATCAATCAATCAGCTCGCTGGGAGGGCTCGATCAGCTCGTTGGGAGGGATCGATCAGCTCGCTGAGAGGGATCGATCAATCAGATCGCTGGGAGGGATCCATCAGCTCGCTGGGAGGGATCAATCAATCAGCTCGCTGGGAGGGATCAATCAGCTCGCTGGGATCAATCAATCAGCTCGCTGGGAGGGATCAATCAGCTCGCTGGGAGGGATCAATCAATCAGCTCGCTGGGAGGGATCAATCAGCTCGCTGGGATCAATCAATCAGCTCGCTGAGAGGGATCAATCAGCTCGCTGGGAGGGATCAATCAGCTCGCTGAGATCCATCGATCAGCTCGCTGGGAGGGATCGATCAGCTCGCTGGGAGGGATCGATCAGCTCGCTGGGAGGGATCAATCAATCAGCTCGCTGGGATCAATCAATCAGCTCGCTGGGAGGGATCAATCAGCTCGCTGGGAGGGATCAATCAATCAGCTCGCTGGGATCAATCAATCAGCTAGCTGGGAGGGATCAATCAGCTCGCTGGGAGGGATGAATCAATCAGCTCGCTGGGAGGGATCGATCAGCTCACTGGGAGGGATCGATCGGCTCATTGGGAGGGATCAATCAATCAGCTCGCTGGGAGGGATCAATCAGTTTGCTGGGAGGGATCGATCAACTCGTTGGGAGGGATCGATCAGCTCGCTGGGAGGGATCAATCAGCTCGCTGGGAGGGATCAATCAGCTCGCTGGGAGGGATCAATCAGCTCGCTGGGATCAATCAATCAGCTCGCTGGGATCAATCAATCAGCTCGCCGGGAGTGATCAATCAGCTCGCTGGGAGGGATCGATCAGCTCGCTGGGAGGGATCAATCAATCAGCTCGCTGGGATCAATCAATCAGCTCGCTGGGAGGGATCAATCAGCTCGCTGGGAGGGATCAATCAGCTCGCTGGGATCCATCGATCAGCTCGCTGGGAGGGATCGATCAGCTCGCTGGGAGGGATCGATCAGCTCGCTGGGAGGGATCAATCAGCTCGCTGGGATCGATCAATCAGCTCGCTGGGAGGGATCAATCAGCTCACTGGGAGGGATAAATCAGCTCGCTGGGAGGGATCAATCAGCTCGCTGGGAGGGATCAATCAGCTCGCTGGGATCAATCAATCAGCTCGCTGGGAGGGATCAATCAATCAGCTCGCTGGGAGGGATCAATCAGCTCGCTGGGCGGGATCAATCAATCAGCTCGCTGGGAGGGATCGATCAGCTCGCTGGGAGGGATCGATCAGCTCGCTGGGATCAATCAATCAGCTCGCTGGGAGGAGTCCATCAGCTCGCTGGGAGGGATCAATCAGCTCGCTGGGAGGGATCGATCAGCTCGCTGGGCGGGATCGATCAGCTCGCTGGGAGGGATCGATCAGCTCGCTGGGAGGGATCGATCAGCTCGCTGGGAGGGATCGATCAGCTCGCTGGGAGGGATCGATCAGCTCGCTGGGAGGGATCGATCAGCTCGCTGGGAGGGATCGATCAGCTCGCTGGGAGGGATCAATCAGCTCGCTGGGAGGGATCAATCAGCTCGCTGGGAGGGATCAATCAGCTCGCTGGGAGGGATCAATCAGCTCGCTGGGAGGGATCAATCAGCTCGCTGGGAGGGATCAATCAATCAGCTCGCTGGGAGGAGTCCATCAGCTCGCTGGGAAGGATCAATCAGCTCGCTGGGATCCCCTCATTCCGTCAGGGTGGTGGTGGAGGATGAGGAGGAGGAGGAAGCTTCCGCGTGTTTCCAACATCAGATCTGGAGCGCGTGGGTCTCGTTCTTCTCCGCCTTCCCCTTCTCGTCCTCATCGTCCTCCTCGTCCGAGTCTGAGTCCTCCTCCATGGTCAGCTTCTGGAGAAGGTGGCTGACGCGATGGTGGCGCAAAGCGGCCAAGAAGATCCTGCGGGCGCTTTGCAAGAGGCTGTGGCGTCGAGCCTGGGAACCTGAGGATGATGATGACGGTGGTGGTGGTGACGGCGGTGACGGTGGTGATGGTGAGCAGCAGTAGTGATGACGGTGGTGGTGATGGTGAGCAGCAGTAGTGATGACGGTGGTGGTGGTGATGACGGTGATGATGGTGGTGGTGGTGATGGTGAGCAGCAGTAGTGATGACGGTGGTGGTGGTGGTGGTGATGACGGTGATGATGGTGGTGGTGGTGAGCGGCAGTAGTGGTGGTGGTGGTGATGGTGAGCAGCAGTAGTGATGACGGTGATGGTGGTGATGGTGATGATGGTGGTGGTGGTGAGCGGCAGTAGTGATGGTGGTGGTGATGGTGGTGGTGATGGTGAGCGGCAGTAATGATGGTGGTGGTGGTGATGGTGAGCGGGAGTAGTGATGACGGTGGTGGTGGTGGTGAGCGGCAGTAGTGATGGTGGTGGTGATGGTGGTGATGACGGTGGTGGTGGTGATGGTGAGCAGCAGTAGTGATGACGGTGGTGGTGGTGATGATGGTGATGATGGTGGTGGTGGTGATGGTGAGCAGCAGTAGTGATGACGGTGGTGGTGATGGTGGTGGTGATGATGGTGATGATGGTGGTGGTGATGACGGTGGTGGTGGTGGTGATGGTGAGCAGCAGTAGTGATGACGGTGGTGGTGGTGATGATGGTGGTGAGCGGCAGTAATGATGGTGGTGGTGATGGTGGTGGTGATGACGGTGATGATGGTGGTGATGGTGGTGGTGATGGTGAGCGGCAGTAGTGATGGTGGTGGTGATGATGGTGGTGGTGGTGGTGATGGTGAGCGGGAGTAGTGATGACGGTGGTGGTGGTGAGCGGCAGTAGTGATGGTGGTGGTGATGATGGTGATGATGGTGGTGGTGATGGTGAGCAGCAGTAGTGATGACGGTGGTCATGGTGGTAATGGTGAGCAGCAGTAGTGGTGGTGGTGGGGATGGTGAGCAGCAGTAGTGATGACGGTGGTGGTGGTGGTGAGCGGCAGTAGTGGTGGTGGTGGGGATGGTGAGCAGCAGTAGTGATGACGGTGATGGTGGTGATGGTGATGATGGTGGTGGTGGTGAGCGGCAGTAGTGATGGTGGTGGTGATGACGGTGATGATGGTGGTGATGGTGGTGGTGATGGTCAGCGGCAGTAGTGATGGTGGTGGTGATGATGGTGGTGATGGTGAGCGGGAGTAGTGATGACGGTGGTGGTGGTGAGCGGCAGTAGTGATGGTGGTGGTGATGGTGGTGATGACGGTGGTGGTGATGGTGAGCGGCAGTAGTGATGACGGTGGTGGTGGTGGTGATGATGGTGGTGATGATGGTGATGGTGGTGATGGTGGTGGTGACGGTGGTGGTGGTGATGGTGGTGATGATGGTGATGGTGGTGATGGTGGTGATGGTGGTGGTGAGCAGCAGTAGTGATAACGGTGGTGATGGTGGTGGTGATGGTGGTGATGATGGTGATGATGGTGGTGGTGGTGATGACGGTGGTGGTGGTGATGGTGAGCGGCAGCAGTGATGACGGTGGTGGTGGTGGTGGTGATGGTGAGCGGCAGTGGTGGTGGTGGTGATGGTGATGATGGTGGTGATGGTGGTGATGATGGTGGTGGTGGTGAGCGGCAGTAGTGATGACGGTGGTGGTGGTGGTGATGGTGGTGGTGGTGATGGTGGTGATGATGGTGATGGTGAGCGGCAGTAGTGATGACGGTGGTGGTGGTGATTATGGTGGTGGTGATGGTGGTGGTGGTGATGGTGAGCGGCAGTAGTGATGACGGTGGTGGTGGTGGTGATGGTGATGATGATGGTGGTGGTGAGCAGCAGTAGTGATGACGGTGGTGATGATGATGGTGGTGGTGATGGTGGTGATGGTGGTGATGGTGAACAGCAGTAGTGATGATGGTGGTGTGGTGGTGAGCGGCAGTAGTGATGACGGTGGTGGTGGTGATGGTGATGGTGAGCAGCAGTAGTGGTGACGGTGGTGGTGGTGAGCGGAAGTAGTGATGACGGTGGTGGTGGTGGTGATGATGAGGGTGGTGAGCGGCAGTAGTGATGACGGTGGTGGTGGTGATGCTGGTGATGATGATGATGGTGGTGGTGATGGTGGTGATGGTGAGCAGCAGTTGTGATGATGGTGGTAGTGGTGAGCGGCAGTAGTGATGACTGTGCCGGTGGTGGTGATGGTGATGGTGGTGATGACGGTGATGACGGTGGTGGTGGTGGTGATGATGATGGTGGTGGTGATGGTGAGCGGCGATGGTGAGCGGCAGTAGTGATGACGGTGGTGGTGGTGGTGATGATGGTGAGCGGCAGTAGTGATGACGGTGATGATGGTGGTGGTGGTGATGACGGTGGTGGTGGTGGTGATGATGGTGGTGGTGGTGATGGTGAGCGGCAGTAGTGATGACGGTGATGATGGTGGTGGTGGTGGTGATGACGGTGGTGGTGGTGATGACGGTGGTGGTGGTGATGACCGTGGTGGTGGTGGTGGTCATGGTGGTGATGACGGTAGTGGTGATGGTGATGATGACGGTGGTGGTGGTGAGCGGCAGTAGTGATGACGGTGGTGGTGGTGGTGGTAGTGGTGGTGGTGAGCGGCAGTAGTGATGACGGTGATGATGGTGGTGGTGGTGATGATGATGGTTGTGGTGAGCAGCAGTAGTGATGACGGTGGTGGTGGTGGTGATGGTGGTGATGACGGTGATGACGGTGGTGGTGGTGATAGTGGTGATAGTGGTGATGACGGTGGTGGTGGTGGTGGTGATGACGGTGGTGGTGGTGGTTGTGATGGTGGTGGTTGTGATGGTGGTGGTGGTGGTGATGATGATGGTTGTGGTGAGCAGCAGTAGTGATGGCGGTGGTGGTGATGACGGTGATGATGGTGGTGGTGGTGATGACGGTGGTGGTGATGATGGTGGTGGTCGTGGTGATGACGGTGGTGGTGATAGTGGTGGTGATGATGGTGGTGGTGATGATGGTGGTGGTGGTGGTGGTGATGACGGTGGTGGTGATGACGGTGGTGGTGGTGGTGGTGATGGTGGTGGTGATAGTGGTGGTGATGATGGTGGTGGTGATGATGATGGTGGTGGTGATGACGGTGGTGGTGGTGGTGGTTGTGCGAGCTGCGCTTCGATACCCAAAGCGACCCGAGTTCGATTCCTGCTCACGGTCAACACCAGTGACGATCATCTGAACCGGTCCTGGGCCTCCTCCCCTAGGTCGACTCGGCCTCAAATGTGTGTAGTAAACATCGCCGCTAGGGAGACAAAGGCGGTCGGGCGTAGTGCTGGCCATCCCCCCCATAACAACAACACCACGGCGCTTGTGCCAGGGCAGGTGCACTTTCAGGCTATCACGTGAAGTACCGAAGGCTCTCTGCTGGCAGGAGGACACGGGACAGACCCAGGTGCCATGGGTGCACTGTTGTGCCAGGCTAGGTGCAGGAGGAGGTCACGGGACAGACCCAGGTGCCATGGGTTCACTGCTGTGCCAGGCTAGGTGCAGGCGGAGGTCACGGGACAGACCCAGGTGCCATGGGTTCACTTCTGTTCCAGGCTCGGTGCAGGAGGAGGTCACGGGACAGACCCCCAAGTGCCATGGATTGACTGACCGAGATGGCTGGCAGATGCACCACCTTTGCTCACCACTCTAGCTACTCTCTGTATTTTATCCACCCGGCGCTACGCTCGTTGTTGTGAGCGTCGCTCCTCTGCCCTGCGTTGCTGTTGGGGGGCGACTGCCTCCAACTGACCAAATAGCGTCCTTCACGAGCCTCCTTATCATAAACGAAGATCCCCCGTGTAGCCTTAACAGACTGTTGGGGCAAGTGCTGTTAGCGAGCACCTATCAAGGCCAGAACGGTACACGAGGGGGATGGGTGGCCAGCACCACGCCCGGCTGCCTTTGTCTCCCCAGTGACGATGGGAGGAGGTTGAGAGAATCGTCACCGGCGTTGGCCGCAGGCGGGAATCGAACCCCCCCCCCTCCCCCTCAGTCACCAGGTTTCGGAGCGCAGTGGCGGAGCTAACCGCAGCACTGCCACTCCCCCTCCTCATTTAAGCACAGACACACACACAGGTGCCACGTGTGTGGGCCCCTGGATTGTGAATCCCTGGGCTCCAGGGCCAAGCTTGTGTCTTCCTCGCCGTGGACTGTGTCGCCAGTGAAGAACCAGTGGCATCTACATCTGCAGAACGTGAAGAACCAGTGGCATCTACATCTGCAGAACGTGAAGAACCAGTGGCATTTACATCTCCAGAACGTGAAGAACCAGTGGCATCTACATCTGCAGAACGTGAAGAACCAGTGGCATGTACGTCTGCAGAACGTGAAGAACCAGTGGCATGTACGTCTGCAGAACGTGAAGAACCAGTGGCATGTACGTCTGCAGAACGTGAAGAACCAGTGGCATGTACGTCTGCAGAACGTGAAGAACCAGTGGCATCTACATCTGCAGAACGTGAAGAACCAGTGGCATCTACATCTGCAGAACGTGAAGAACCAGTGGCATCTACATCTGCAGAACGTGAAGAACCAGTGGCATCTACATCTGCAGAACGTGAAGAACCTGTGGCATCTACATCTGCAGAACGTGAAGAACCTGTGGTATCTACATCTGAAGAACGTGAAGAACCAGTGGCATCTACATCTGCAGAACGTGAAGAACCAGTGGCATCTACATCTGCAGAACGTGAAGAACCAGTGGCATCTACATCTGCAGAACGTGAAGAACCAGTGGCATCTACATCTGCAGAACGTGAAGAACCAGTGGCATCTAGATCTGCAGAACGTGAAGAACCAGTGGCATCGACATCGACAGAACGTGAAGAACATCTCCAGGAGATTATACAACTTTTAAAGCCATTCCCCGTGCTTAGTGTACATGCCGTACTACACGTTTGGAATCGACATGAGTAAAGTTGGGCTTACGAGCAAATCGACTTACGAACAGAGCAGCGAGCTCACCCCGCACCTACGCAGCTTCGTTAAACGTTTGAGACCAGTGAGAGTTTAATGACCTGATGCGTTTCGGGCAGGAGGAGTCTGCGCTAAATCATCCTTCTGGCGGTTACCCCGGGGTACCAAATAATACAAAATGGCCGAGGTAATAAATATTTTTATTTCTGGGACACTTTTTTTTCCAGGGGTGTACTTAACTCCGCGACTTGGGGTACCAATAAATCCGAAATCGGTGCTACTCCGTGATGTTGAAACGCCAAACAATAGCATCGAAAATGTTTACTTTGAATAGTGCATCGTGTACAGCTGGTTGAGATGAGTCGATTGCAGCATCGCCGAGGGAGACAGAAAAACAAGTTATGAGAGTGAAAGTGATGTGAGATAGAGCGATGAGAGCGATAAAGCGATGAGAGATAAAGTGATGAGAGATTTGACTGGCTGCGGTGTAACTACCCGAGTTAACACCTGACGTGCCACTTGCCCTGTGCAGGACCTGACCAGCACGTCATTGCGTGGAGGGAACAGCCGCTGTTCCAGACCCGGTCTGTGTTGAGAAGCCCCATGGACCCATCAATGCTTGACCGGAGCCTCTACACCGTCGTGGTCAGTGAAGCGTAACGCATCGATCTCTGTCTCTACATCAGCTCAGGCCTCCAGTAAACCACGTGACTCACGTGTGACCACCCCCACTCTGAGCTTTCCCCTCTCAACTATAGATATCCCTCTTTAAACCGGCTCAAGCCTCCAGTAAACCACGAGACTCCTGCATGATCATACCAACTCTGAGCCCCCTGTCCCCATGATCACTGCGGAACGTGCAAACAGATCCCCGTTCCTCTGCACAGCTCACTTCTGCTGCTCGCTATTTCCGCCTCTCCTCTGCCATTCTCTTCCCTTCCCACTCTTTATCGTCATCGCCCTCTGGTCCATAAAATGGCGGCTGGGAGATGTTCACTACCTTGCCCGGTATACAGGAGGTCGTGTGTTCGATCTCGACCCCTCACGCCTGTTGTATATTTGGAGTTTGCGTCTCTCTATTTCTCTCCCCGTTGTCGTGTGGATTTTTCTCCGGGTCCTCCGGTTTTTTTCCCCTCCACAGTTAAGAATCAACGTCACGCATTTAGAGTATTTTGGCTGCTGCTATAAATTCCCACGTGATAAGCCACTTCGTTGAGCTATCATTTATGGTAGCCAGGTGGCTTTTTAAAAAGAGCTACATAGCTCAGGAGGCCTTACCTGGTAAAATCAAAGTTTAATTTTTGTATGGGTCTCAGTCAGTCTATGGGTGCCGCTATACATTTCCACGCGATGATGATGATATCAAACGCTTCGCTGAGCTATCATTTGTGATGGCCAGGTCGCTTCTGAAAAGGAGCTACATAGCTCAGTGGGCCTTACCTGGTAAAACAAAAAAATGTTTCTAGTTTAGTAGTTTCGTTATCTCTGTTGGGAAGGTCTCGTGTTATTGAAAACTAGCTGGGGGGCCCAGCATTGCCCGGGATAAATTAATGGGTACCAACATATGGGGCAGGAGCAAAATTGAGGAAAAGAAATATGATTAAGTTTTCTACATATTGCCTGGCCATTCAAAGTTATTCTATTTTATTGCAGGGCCTGTGGGTAAACCACAAGTTTGAGAAGGTTGGAGCATGCAATGTTAAGCTGCCCATGGGAGAAACAGGGAGTTAGAAGGTGAACCTCCCTGCAACCTGCAGCGACTGTCCTTGTGACTGGTTGATGGACATTGCAAAGGAGAGCCGAACAAGCAACTGCAGTCGTTTGCACTGATAAGGGACATCGGTGGGAATGAGTGGTATGCAAGCAATAAAGACATTTTGTTTTGGCACACACCCTGTCATTATAGTTGCCTCAATGACACGAGGTAGGAGCTTTTTCACGCAGAGCTGATCCCGTTGCAGAGTTCGGGAGGATCCTTTCTTTAGTGAGGTGGCATTCCTGGTGGCTGCAATGAGTTGAGGACTTCTGTGGGATAATGTACTGCCTTGGCCTGTTTCAGTAACAGTATCGCTTGACATGTATGTCCATTCTTGACCAGGTAGCTCCTTTAGGATGTAGTAATGGATACTGCTTAGTGTATAATTTTTAGGGGCAAGGATGGCTCGTTGACACAGACAGTAGCCGGTTATGATAGGTGGAATCCGGGAAGTGATTGAGTATGTGGGGGAGAAAAAAAAACGTTAAAAAAACTCTCGACCTGTCTTAACGACAGTGCCACCATTGGCTGGAATTGTCACCTGTCCACTTTGATCATCTCGGCGATTTCCATTGCCAATTCACAGCAAGTGGTCTGAGAATGTCCCTGCATTAACATCTCCCTGGAGTCTCACACACGTTGGTTTGTGGTCAGACTCAATTTCTGAACACCAGACGAGAGATTCATTTTCTTTTAACGGGCCTTTATTTCATCTGCAGCGAGGTTTCCCCTTGGAACAATTGGCAGTGTTTGTCTAAAATCTCCAGAGAGGATCAATGTGACTGCCCCCATACAGTACATGTTATTGTCTCTGAGGTCCGGCAGAGTGCGATCCAGTGCTTCAAAAGCTGCTTGATTGAACATTGCTCATTCATCCCAAACAATTAGTTTTCAGCTCTGCAGGACCTGAGCTAAACCTCTGCTCTTGCTGATGTTACACACCGGATTCTCTGATCGGTGCAGATCCAAGGACAATTGAAAACCTGAGTGGGCTGTTCTTCCACCAGTCAGAAGAGTTGCAGCAATTCCTGAAGAGGCGGCAACAATGGCAACGTGCTTTTCGGATCTAATTGTGGCAAGAAGTATATTGATCAGAGCATCCAGGAAGATAATTCCACAAGTGTCTCTGTCAACCATATTCACAATTCTTTGTGTAGGCTGCTCGTCTGATCCTGTTTTGTAAACCTCCTGCGCCAATTGGATGGCATTATAGCACGTCTCCTGCAACATTTCCCTGCTGAGCCTGTCGGCATAACCTCTTTGTGGCACAGGAAGTCCAAGCTGCAACTGCAGCAGAGATTTCCCGACCATAGACATGATCTTGTTCTCAATCAAAATTAGTCTTTGATTGAAGGTCTCACTATTGTACTGCAAATTTACATTAGAGCTGTCTTGTCTAGCCCTATGCAGAATGTCCTCGGTCATATAGCGGTGTTTGTGAGTTTCCCACAACAGCCTGGGATTGGAGGGAGAGCAGGTTGTGATAAGCACAGCAAACAGATTTCTCACTTTGAAAGCAGATCTGATTGCTGCTGCTGCTGCTTCTTCCAGGGTAGTGTTCTAGTGGTCATCTTATCTAGCATTGTGTTAGTGATGGCCAGGGGAAGGATTCCCACCAAAAGGAAGGGGGAGTGGGACGGTGACAGTGGAAGGGGGGGAGGAGCAGGTGATGAGATATGAGAGAACGGGCGGGAAAAAGTGGGAGAATTGGTGGCAACGGGATTGAGATGGCTGGGGACGAGTGTGGACTGGGGGAAGCAATAAAAGAGAACCCCCTGCAGCCTCGTGTCGGCTCTCCTTTACAAGTGTATATAGCGCTTTTGTCAAAGCACTTTACAATAATTATAAATGGTACATTAGTTATTGGCTGATGGGGGTTTTAAAGGGTGGTGATCGGGAAAGGGAGCGCTGGCGAGGTTAGGAAGGGGGAGGATGGTAAGGGAGGATGATTAGCGGTAGAGGGAGAGCGGCTGAGGATGGTTAAGGTTTTAAGGATGCAGACAGGAAGTAGTAGAGGGTTCGACTATTGAAAAAAGATAAGTCTTAAGGGAGGAACGAGAAATGGTTTCATGACGTTGCCTGTTTGATGTGGAGTGGGAGCTTTTTCCATTGGAGGGGAGTCATGTGGGAGAAGGAGCGGAAACGTGACTGAGCACAGGAAGGGGAGGGAGGGGCGGTGTGAGGGAGAATAGAGATTGTGAATGCTGGGGCCTCGATGGGACATAGTACGACATTAGAGAAGTGAGATAGGGCAGGGCAGAACCATGGGGCAGTTTGTACGTGAGGTCGAGGAATTTGAATAAACAGCAATCGTAGACGGGAAATCTAGATTTGAAGGTTTCGTGACTGCAGGGATCCATACTCTTTGGTTGTTTCGGTAAAATCACGTAGGTAGAAAATAAAATACATTTATTTAGTTTTATACCTACATGACTTGACCGAAAGAACCAAAGAGTATAGTAGATGGGAAATCTAGATTTGAAGGTTTCGTGACTGCAGGGATCCATAATCTTTGGTTCTTTCGGTAAAATCACATAGGTAGAAAATAAAATACATTTATTCAGTTTTATACCTACATGACTTTACCGAAAGAACCAAAGAGTATAGTAGACGGGAAATCAATGGAGTTGGACGAGGGGAGCAGACGGAATCGGGTGTGATGTGGAAGATTAAAAATTATCCGGGACGAAGCGTTTTGAATTTTCTGGAGGGGAACGAAGGCGTAGGCAGGAAGACCAAGAAGAAGGGAATTACAGTCAGTCGGGACGTGAAAAATACGAGGGAGTGGATGAGTTTTTTGGCAGCGGAATTTGAGATAAGGGGGCGAATTTTTACGGATGTTGAAGACATGAAAGCGCCATGTGCGGGTTACCGTGGCAGTATTCTTGGTGAAGGAGGGAGAAGGCTCAAAGGTGACCCCAAGGTTTTGAGCAAAGGCGACAGCATTGAGCGAAGCCGCCTCCTCTGGCATGCCTCGTGAAATGTTCCACACAGGATGCCCATTAACAGTTTGTCAGGTGCTGGCAGGAGGTTGGGTCTGTTACTGAGTGCAAAAGTAAGGGAAGATTAAGAAAAAAGCATTCTGAGTTACTGTGATGGACCGTGGTGTAAACGCACCCCGAGTGCCGCGTCGGAGTAGATTCCAGGATGATCAGGAACCGCTGCACACGCCAATGCAACAGTGTCCGTGCAAATGAACTTTGCTTACAAAGCTGAAGAAACGGGAGGATTCTGTGCTCTCTCTTGAGACACTGCCACCATTGGAGAAGATACGTTGACCATTTGCCAAGAGGACAACTTACGTGTGTAACTATGGGGTATCGCTCATAAATTGGAAACTCCGGAATCCTCTCCGCAGCTTCGTTGCTGCTGATGCAGTGACCCCATTTGATGGCAAATTACTTTACCGTATGCGTTCACTTGTGCCCCACCTCTCTGCAAGGCAAAGACTGCCCGGTCGCTTCCTTTGTTGACATGCTTACATATGCATTTAATTGCCTTTATCGAGGTGCAGCATTCGACATTGAGGTGGGCATTGCATATTCTTGACAGAGGTGAGCAGTTGGGAAACACCCACTTATTGCCATCGTCAACTTAACCCTTTTTAACTGTACAACTCTCATGTTGAGGGTGTCTCCTCCTCCTGTAGAGAGGGTAACCATCGTCCCAATTGTGTGGGAGAAACATTTTGCCATCTTTCATGCATGGTGAGGCACGGTTCACAAGTACCACATGGACCATGAAATATGTGTTTGGACACAATCTGGGAAAGTGCTGGGATCCTCATTGACATTTGGAACCTCGGCACTTATGCATGAGTCAGCCTGGTTTGATTTGAGTTTTTCTTTGAGCCAAGGCAGAATGTGTGCAGGAGGCAGTCCAATTCTTT